GTATAAGCAATTTTCTGTCACAGCAGGTGTACCCACTACGAATCCCAAATACCAATTTTAAGTCATCCCTTCAAATAATGAAGTATCGAATATCGGGAGCTACGCTAATGTGGGCACTGCGTGAAAACCTAGACCCATGTTGATAATTTTCTATCAGCGAGGATGATACCTATTGTAAACACCAAATTCCAACTTTAAAATAAGTCCGTTGAAATTTCGGTATAAACATCCTAATCGGTCTGTATCGTCATATGGGGGGCTATACCAAAACGAGGACATATTCAATTCTACGGATCTCAAATACGTCTGATCTGATCTGATATTTTATCAACCTATTTTCTTTCGTTGATTTCCATGATGGACTGACAGACGTCAATCGACATAGAATTTTGCGCTGATCAAAAATAAATCTACTTTGTTGGGTCTAAAATGGATATTTCGGAATGGTCAACTTAATATACCCTCCATGCTATGGTTCTTCAAAATTTACACAGCTCATTTTTTTTTTTTCGTTTGAACGTCCCCCCTAAATTCAAATTCTTATATATCGCGTATGGGTTTTTTTTTTTCTCAAGGATTGGAAATTTCAAAGCAATTTATTTTCCCCTCAATTTTTATACCCTCAGCCATATGGCTACAGAGGGTATATATCATTTGATACGGCCAAAACGTGCCTAGTCGAAATAACGGTTTTAGACCCTAGGTCTCTTTGGACCAAATCCGTTTCAGAACATTCGGAGTCGATCTAGCGATGTCCGTCCGTCCGCCCGTCCGTCCGTCTGTCTGGTGCGCACGATAACTCTCGAAGGGAGTATCCGATTTGGTCCAAATTGGCTACAACGTAATATTTTTGTAAAACTTAGATCGAGTTCGGAGATGGGCAATATCAGTCCACTCCTTCTGGTACCTCCCCCACAAAAGGTCGAAATTTTCAAAAAATATATTTTTTGCACAGGAAGAGAAAGGATAATCCGAATTTGCTCCAACTTTGCAAATCCTAATATTTGCGTCAGTGCTAGGTCAGGTGTGAAAATGGGCAATATCGGTCCACTCCATCAAGTACCTCCCCCACAAATGGTCAAAATTTTGAATAATTACAACTCTCATAAAATGTTATGTAAGAGTCCGATTGTCTTCAAATTTCACTCAATATTGTCTTGTGTTAAGATGAACAATATCGGCCCACTCCTTCTGGTACCTCCCCCACAAAAGGTCGAAATTTTCAAAAAAAAAAAAATTTTTTTTGCACTGAAAGAGAAAGGCTAATCCGAATTTGCTCCGACTTTGCGAATCCTAATATTTGCGTCAGTGCTAGGACAGGTGTGAAAATGGATAATATCGGTCCACTCCATCAAGTACCCCATTTTGAGTACCCATGAAGCTCATACATCGCCAAATTATCATCCGATTCTATTTAGACTTGGCACATCTGTCGAAATATTTATATCATATTTTGGGTCCAATAGGAAATGGGCAATATTGGCCCATTCCTTCGGGATCTGCTCCATAGAGGGTCAAACGTTTGAATAACCTTAACACTAGTCAACATATATTTAGATAATCGAACATAGGCTGAGGGTATATCTCTGGCGGCAATACCGACTGATACTTTTTAACTTGTTGTTACTGTGTTCGCTATTACAACGTTTGACTGTTTTCACTATCCAAATCCATGCAACTAAGCCTCAAATCTCCGCTTTTGTTTGAATTTCTATGGCACTGTAGTAGTACGTGCTACAGCAAGAAATCCCTTGCCAAAAACGGTTAGACAGAATCCAACAACAACCGGCAAGTACCTACTTCATGTCTAAACTTTTTCTATGCGTTATGTTTAGTTGAGTGCACTAACTATCTATATCCCATCCCATCCTACCAACCAACCACCCAGGCACAACCATTCACCGCAGAGCACTTCACTTGTCCGCCTATAGACGACATTCGAACGATGCCCCAACCAGCAACGAACAACGGCAGCAGTCCGTATTTTTTCCCCATTTGACGTAAGTAACATTGTGTACTGAGTGCTAACAGGTTAGCAGAAATCGGAGAGAGTCGATTTTACATTAAGTACTCTGAGTATTTCTTTTTTTCGTTTTTTTTTAATTACGCTTCAATTGCACTGGTATTTCAGCAGTATTTGTTGTATTGTTGCTGGTTCTCTTTTGTTTGTGTTGCTGTTGTTGCTGCCTGCGGCTGTTAGTACCTCCCCTTTTTGGCAGTGGTATTTGTGATACTTGTTGTATTGTGTTGTTGTGTTTATCACGAAACAAACACACATACCCGTTTATGCGACGTACCATGGATTTGCTCCAAGCTTTCCCCTTCCAGTTGCTGTTCTTCACAGTTCTCCTCTCCACCTCTCTCCATCTCTCACCAACAACCAAGAGTACTCTCGTTGCTATTACTCAGTTACTTGTTATGCATTCCTTGTATGAACACGGTTAACATTGACGATGATGTCGTCGTCGTCGACATCGTTGTTGCCGTTCCTTCGCCTGTTGTTGTTGTTTGTCTTTCTAGCTGGATTTTTATTAGTCCCCACCTTCTCCAATTGGTTGTATTCTTTGCAAAAGGTCGTTGCTCGGCACAGAGCAGCGTTCGTTCACCTCAATTGTTTTGCTGCTGTTTATTTTGAATTGGGGATACCAGTTTGCATTGTTGATGTGCGTCAAGTATATGTTGTTGTAGATGTGTGTGTGTGTCTGTGCGAGAGTCTGCTGAGAGAAATGAATATCCAGATGTGGGTCTCAGTTGTATTACTGAATCGTTGCAATTTTAGTAATGCAACGACCTTGCACAAGATTTGGTGCCTTGTACGAATTTTAGGCGGCTAATGATGTCTAAATTGAATGTGGAAGACGATGTCCTTGAATAAAAATTCTTAAAAGAGTAATTGAAAAAATGTATTATTGAAAAAGTAAAGGTGGAAAGAGTCTTCAAAAATTAAACAACAAAAAAATTGCGTTGAGTTCGGCCGCTCCGTTCACCATTACTCTACACCAGCAATGAAACATTTAATTGGAAAATGTGGCTTGGATCTTTTAATTAACATTTCTATTCTTGTTATATAAAAAAATAAAGGGAAATTTTATAAAGTCATATAAACTTACATCTTCAGATCAATCCGTTAAACCAAGGCCAAATTGTACGGATTTTAGTACCATTTAAAAAATAAAAAAATCCACGCCTTGTTGATATTTTAAAAAATCCAAGCCTTGTTGGTCCTTTGAAAAATATAATTTTAAATAATACACGCCATATTGGTCCTTTGAAAAATATAATTTTAAATAATACACGCCATGTTGGTCCTTTGAAAAAAATATATTTATAAAATCCACGCCTTGTTGGTCCTTTGAAAAAAATATTTTTAAAAAATCCACGCCTTGTTGGTCCTTTAAAAAAATATTTTTAAAAAATCCACGCCTTGTTGGTCCTTTAAAAAAATATTTTTAAAAAATCCACGCCTTATTGGCCCTTTGAAAAAAACATTTTTAAAAAATTCAAGCCTTGTTGGCCATTTGAAAAATAAATTAAAAATGCAAGCCTTGTTGGTCCTTAAAAAAAATATTTTTAAAAAATCCACGCCTTGTTGGACCTTGGAAAAAAATATTTTTAAAAAATCCACGCCTTGTTGGTCCTTGGAAAAAAATATTTTTAAAAAATCCACGCCTTGTTGGTCCTTGGAAAAAAATATTTTTAAAAAATCCACGCCGTGTTGGTCCTTTGAAAAAAAAATATTTTTAAAAAATTCTTTGGAAAAACATTTTTAAAAAATCCAATCCGTGTTGGTCCTTTGGAAAAAATATTTTTAAAAATTCTTTGGAAAAACATTTTTAAAAAATCCAATCCGTGTTGGTCCTTTGAAAAAAATATTTTTAAAAATTCTTTGGAAAAACATTTTTAAAAAATCCAATCCTTGTTGGTCCTTAAAAAAATCCACGCCGTATTGGTCCTTTGAAAAAATATTTTTAAAAAATCCAATCATTTGAAAAAATATTTTTAAAAAATTCACGCCTTGTTAGTAATTTGAAAAATATTTTTAAAAAATCCAGTCATTTGAAAAATATATTTAAAAATCCAGTCATTTGAAAAAATATTTTAAAAAAATCCACGCCATGTTGATTCTTTAAAAAAAATAAAATATATCCGCCTTTTGGGTCCTTTGAAAATTATTTTTAAAAAATTCGCGCCTTGTTGGTAATTTGAAAAATATTTTTAAAAAATCCAGTCATTTGAAAAAATATTTAAAAAAAAAATCCACGCCTTGTTGGTCCCTTGAAAAATATTTTTAAAAAATCCAGTCATTTGAAAAAATATTTTAAAAAAATCCACGCCTTGTTGGTCATTTAAAAAAATACTTTTAAAAAATACAGTCATTTAAAAAAATACTTTTAAAAAATCCATGCCTTGTTGGACATTTGAAAAATATTTTTAAAAAATCCACGTCATTTGAAAAAATATTTTAAAAAAATCCACGTCATTTAAAAAAATACTTTTAAAAAATCCAGTCATTTAAAAAAATACTTTTAAAAAATCCATGCCTTGTTGGACATTTGAAAAATAAATAAAAAATCCAAGCCTTGTTGGACCTTGGAAAAAAAATTTTAAAAAATCCACGCCTTGTTGGTCCTTGGAAAAAACATTTTTAAAAAATCCACGCCTTGTTGGTCCTTTGAAAAAACATTTTTAAAAAATCCACGCATTGTTGGTCCTTTGAAAAAATATTTTTAAAAAACCACCCCTTTTTGGTCTTTTGAAAAAATATTTTTAAAAATTCCTTTGAAAAAAGTATTTTTTTAAAAATCCACGCCTTGTTGGTCCTTTGACAAAAATATTTTTAAAAAATCCACGCCTTGTGGGTCGTTTGACAAAAATATTTTTAAAAAATTCACGCCTTGTTGGTGCTTTAAAAAATTAAACTTTAAAAAGTCCTTTATAAAAATAAATCTTCCGAATCACCCTGAAAAATATTTAAAAGTCCTCCTGAATTCAATTTTCGTTTTCATATGTATTTATTTATGTAAATATTATAGCTTAGATTATATCGTTCTTATCCTTAGGTGTTTTTCATGATATGTATTTTTGTTTTCGAGTGTAACATTTTCAGTTTTTTATAGACACTGATTTAGGTGATTTTTCATATATTGTGTTTTATATTTTATTTATTTCATTATTTACCTAAATTATCACAGTTTTTGATATGTATGTTGTTGTTTTTTTTGGGATTTCCTTTATAATCTATAATCTCTAGTTTTATTTTCGCAAGTGTTACTGATATGTTTCGGTTGCAGTTTTGTTGTTGTTGCTATAAATAAATAATTTTACTTAACCTCAAATTTTCTATCCTTAAATCTAAAACTCATTTGCTTTGGGCGTTGCTATGACACAGGCATCCTTAAAATTGGTGGCATTTAACGATCCGAAATAGTCTTCGTGCAAAAAACGAATTATATTTTCTATCGGGCATAGATCGGCTTTATTGCCACGACTGTCGCGGGTGACACGAAGACTTTTACCACCCTCGCAAAAGTCAATCTGCTGCGTGACGTCACGGCCATCATAGACCACCCGAAAATAATACTCCGTATGGGCTTCACTTTTGTACACCTCAAAGGCGAGGCGGGCAGCATAGGCGATGAATGTGCTATCAGTTTGTATCCCCAACGCTGCCGTCAGATATTGTAAGGTCCAATCGTGGCCAGAGTAGAGAACGAATTTGGTACGATCACCGGATATCATGCGCAACATGTAGCTTACGATATGGCGTACCATGCCGTAGGCTCTCAGCAAACCAATTCTTTTATAAAAGGCATGATGGACCTTCCTTGTCGATTGCCATTGGGAAAAGGACATCATGGTGGAGACATGGTCGGGTTCTATACAACCCTCACCAGGACTGGAGGTGGCTGGTATTTCTTCATTTATCAAATTTGAAGCCATATCTCCCAGAGCATCAGCTCCGCCTCCTCCACCGGTGTCACCAATCGATCCACCTCCCCCTCCGCCACCACCCATTAGACCATCATCCTGATCAATATTGATGACATCATTCATATCCATATCATTCGTCCTGGTACTGATAGCCGTGGTACGATCTGTGCCATTGCCACCACCTCTGCGACAAGGCCATGGTGCATCATGACACATGACCGTCAACATGGCATCCACCACTTCATTCGGATCATTTATCCCATTGGGAGTATGCTGCAATAGCTGATTACCCACCCAGTGCATGACATGCATAACCATGGGTTGCTTGTTCAAGCCCTTCTTCTGGGTCTTCAGCAGCTCCTTGCGTAAGGCGTCCGCCTTCTGGCACACACAATCGGTAAAACAAAAGGCAATGCTGTGGGATTCCTTGACATTGAGTGCCAGCCATTTGTCAGTTGGTAGGAAGGTATAAAGCAGGGCCAAGGCGGATTGAAAGGTTCGTCGTACTCGAGTGGTATAGACCACCACTTCATCGGAATTTAGTAGGGTTGAATACGGTGTTGAATTTGCCACATTCTTCCCGTAGCCATTGTTCGACTGTCGTATCCACAGTCCCAACGGGTGGGCATAGATTTGATGTAGTATCTCGCCAACATGCAGGAGCTGAGCTATGCCTCTGGAAGAGAAAACAGAAAAATTAATTTAAGGCATGGATTTGTTTGAAGGAGTGGATTTTTTAAAAACATTTCTTTTTTCAAGAATTAACAAAACGTGGATTTTTAAAAATATTTTTTTCAAAGGACCAACAAGGCGTGGAATTTTAAAAATATTTTTTTTCAAAGGACCAACTAGGAGTGTATTTTTAAAAATATTTTTTTCAATAGACCACCAAGGCGTGGATTTTTAAAAATATTTTTTTTTTCAAAGGAAAAACAAGGCTTGGATTTTTAAAAATATTTTTTTAAAGGACCAACTAGGCGTGGATTTTTAAAAATATTTTTTTTTTCAAAGGAAAAACAAGGCTGGGATTTTTAAAACTATTTTTTTAAAGGACCAACTAGGCGTGGATTTTTAAAAATATTTTTTTTCAAAGGACCAACTAAGCGTGGAGTTTTAAAAAAATTTTTTTCGAAGGACCAACTAGGTGTGGATTTTTAAAAATATTTTTTTCAAACAACCAAGAAGCGTGGATTTTTTAAAAATATTTTTTCAAACGACCAACAAAGCGTGGATTTTTTATAAATATTTTTTTAAAGGACCAATAAGGCCAATAAGGCGTGGATTTTTTATAAATATTTTTTTAAAGGACCAATAAGGCCAATAAGGCGTGGATTTTTTATAAATATTTTTTTAAAGGACCAATAAGGCGTGGATTTTTTATAAATATTTTTTTAAAGGACCAATAAGGCGTGGATTTTTTATAAATATTTTTTTAAAGGACCAATAAGACCAATAAGGCGTGAATTTTTTAATTCATTCATTTTTCAAAGGACAAACAAGACTGAGTTTTAAGGAAAATATTTTTAAGGAATATTTGAAAAAAGTCAAAGAATATTTTTTTTTTTTGTAAAAATTAAGAGCTTTTAAAAAAAATTATATTAACGACCAACGTTGCAATTCCTATTCCATATTGCTGACTCTTACATACTTACTTATATGTCAATTGTCCCAAAAGACAGTCCCTCTCCGCCAGTGGTAGTAGTGGAAAACCATGAAATGGTCCAACCTTATTCCAATACATGTGATTCGATCCCGATATTGATGTGGTGTTATATAAAAAACTTCGATATCTGAAATAGAAACATAAATTAATCCAATCTCTATTCTCAAATTTTCCATTCCAACACTCACTTATTAACCAAATTATCCCCGGTTATGCCACAATCCAAATGTGGTACACTACGCAAATGAGACATTGGACCACGGTCGCCATGACGTATTATCATGAGGACACCCTGCAATTTCCAACCATCCAAAATGCCACCATCATCCAGACGCTGAATCTGTGACAATGGCGTGCAGCGGGTCTTGTATTTGGCAAAATTATTCGGGTCCAATGCCGGAGTTGATGTCAACGAAGCTGAGCCATATAAATGTGAGTTACCATTTAAGATGTAACTCAAGGAGTTGGTGTTGCGACCGATATATTTGTACATTCCTGGAGAGAGAGAGAGAGAGAGAGAGAGAAAAATAATGGTTAAAATTGATTCAATGGCCAATAGAATTCCCGACTCACCTGCTATCAGTAGAAATATCCAAATGCTTAGTATCAAATAGCAGTACAGGGTCCGATGTTGGGTGGAAAATCGTATTAGCTCCTTCAACAACATTGTGTATCACCTGGCTATGGATTGTGGCGGGGAAAATTTAGTTTAGATTCGTTTCGTTTTTTTCTGGGGGGTCTTTTTCTGGAGTTTTTCTAAAAATGTTTTATTTTCGAGTTTTGTTTTCGACGAATGTGTGTGTATTATAGTAAACAGAAAAAAAATGATTGCTATGAAATGTCAGTTAGGTTGTCAAAATAAAACACATGTTTGACAGTTACGCGCATGGGGGGAGGAAGTTTTGGCGCGGTCATGCGTAGTAACGGTAAACACAGGTACAGCTGTTATTTACCGTTAGAGTAAAGTTACCTTTATTTATGTTGATACGGAACAGCTGATGCCAAACATACCTGTTGCATTTAAAGGCAGAGATAGATAGAGAGACATAAAGATATAGAGCATACATACAAAACCAATTTGACAATCCAAAATATGGCAACTTCCACTTTATGCCTAGTGATGATTTGTCATTGACATAACGTCATATAATAGCAAGTTCACAATATTTTACAGAGTATTTAAAAAAACTGTAAAGGAGTATTTAGAAAAAATCACAGGGACTGTTACAAACGTGGTAGCAAACGTAGATTTAACAAGGAAAACAGCAGCTACGTTCGAGGCGGCAAAACTCTTAATACCCTCCATGATTTGGAAGGAACTTGCAAACTATAAAAAAAATCGTTGGAAAATGCCGCTATAATTTTAAAAATTCCGAATATCAGGTGTTACAGTTATAAAACGTGGTCCTTTACAGCCAATTATCTACCAAAGAAGAAGATTGGGAACTTAAAATACCAAGTTTGAAATAATTCTGCGGACAAATTTAGCTAAAATCATCAAAATACTGAATAGTGGGAGGTATGTTATATGGAGGTTATACGAAAGCATGCCTCTGCACCGGAAATTTTCATCATTAGCGGTGTTACATAAGGGATGACAAATACCCTTAATATACCCCCCAAAAAAAGGACACTTAAGGTTTTTATTGTAAAATATTTTTTTAAGGACTTGGATTTAAAAAAAAAAAAACTTTTTTAAAGGATTTTTTATAGAACAAAGTGAATTAAAAAAAATTTCAAAGGACATTTAGGGCTTCTTTGAAAAAAAAAAATACAAGGACTATTAGGACCACAAACGTAAGATATATAAAAATCCGAACCGATGTCGATAAAATTTGACAGAACGATTGTCGAGGTGTATCTGATATCTGGTACCAAATATCATTCTATTGGAGTGCATATTACGAATGTGAGGGACTTAAATACCAAATCGGATAAAACATATACAGGGTGAGATAAAAAAACTGTAACAAAGTCAAACGCCATAATTTTTACATTTTTAAATTTTATTGAATGAATGCAAAAAATGTCGGAAATAGCATCAAATGTTAGAATAAGTTTAGATTTCTTCGAATTATGGCCTTCAAACGGACAATGAAACCGTGACACGCTGCCCGAATGTTGCTCTGCGGTATTTGGCCCATTCCCGAAAAAGCGCTTGCTTGAGGTAATCGACACTTTGGTATTTTTTAATGCCAACCTTTCCAAAAAAATCCAGACACAATAGTCCAACGGATTGGTATCCCAAGATTTTGGGGACCGTTGTGCACTGGAAATGAAGCGAGGAACCTCATTTTGTAACCATTCTTGGGTGGCGCGTGCTGAGTGCCAGGGAGCTGAGTCCTGTTGGAATGTCCAAGGTCTGCAGCCAGAATGTTTGCGTTCCCAAGGCTTTAATACACCCTCCAGAATATCTTCGCGATAATATTCGGCATTTATTTTGATGCCATGGTTGATTAATGCGAGCGGAGAGCGACGATCGGCTGTTATGGCGGCCCACACCATCACCATGGCCGGCGCTTGAGTTCTGAGTTCTGGTGGCAAATCGAAGGAGCATATCTTCAGCTGACCTCTTTGCAAGTAAACACGATCATTTGGTTTGTTTACAAACTGCTGGACAACGAATTTGTTCTCGTCCAAATTCGGAGAAAACCAAATTCGGCCGTTCACTACTTTCGGCCAAGCGAAGCAACCCTTTAGCTCTTTTGAGTCTATTTTCTTTCTGTAGCGGGGTAAGTTCTTGCACTTTTTGGAATTTCAATGGCTTTACCCCATTTTTCAATATTTGTACAATGGAATATTGCGATATGTTCAGCTCACGAGACATAGCCATTTTTCGGCCATTGCGACGCGGATTTCGATCAATTCGCTTCTTTTCTTTTCATTCCTGCTGATGTTGCTGTTTTCTTCCGTCCACTTCCTTGACGTCGGGCTACGCTACAAGTATCACGGTAACGAACGATGGTACGAGACACAAAAGATTTATTTACTTTTAAATGCTGGAGTGCTCTAACGATAACCACTTATGGTTTTCCAGCCAAATATAAAGAAACCACACTATCATGCTCGAATTCCATTACGAATAAGTTATTTTCTGGAAAATACTCACCAAAATGCTTTTGTACGCGTGTGAACAATATAATAAGGTGTCACTGGAATAATTTTAATAGCTTTCGGAAGAGTGCATAACAAATGGCAGCAGTCTGAAGTTGGTTGCAGTTTCTTCATCTCACCCTGTATATGGGAGCTATGGCTATCTGAACCGATTTTAATCAAATTTGATGCACTCATTTCTAGACTAAATCCGGTAGGATGTGCCAAAATTCAGGTCATTTGGACTGATTTTTTCCATTTGGTGCACAATTAACCAGAAATCGGTTGAAGATATATATGGGAGCTTTATCTAAATTTGAACCGATTCTTACCAATTTCAATAGGGTTCGTCCTTGGGCCAAACAAGTATTTGGAAAATTTCATCTCAATCGAATAATATATGTGACCTGCATTTTGTTCACAAAAATACATGGATAGACGGACTGACAGATTGACGTTCATAAATCGACTCAGAAAGTGATTCTATGAAGATCCTCAAAAGTAACTATAGTTCTATCTCGCTTTCTTCTGCATGTTACAAACAAATGCACAAAGACATAATACCCTTACCACACTATGTGGTGTAGGGTATAAAAAAGACATTTAAGATTTTTATTAGAAATTAATTTTTAAGGACTGTAGTAGCTAACAAATTGAATTAAAAACACTTTTTAATGATTTTATACAAAACAAACGTGGATTTAAAATAAAATATTTCGTCAAAGGACATTTAAGATTTTTTTTAAAAATATTTTTTTTTCAAGGACTTTAGGACCACAATAGTGACATTTTCAAATAAAAAATATGTTTTGCTTCTAAGGATTTTTTAAAAAAGAATTGTTTTCTAAGGACTTTTAAATATTTTTTAGGGCTACCAGCGGGGATTTTACTACAATTTTTTTCAAGGCATTTAAGGATTGCTTTTTTCAAGGACTGTTTACGCTGCTCCAACGACTTTAAAATTTATTTTAAGATTATTTTGTTTTAAGGATAGCTAACTCTAGCTTGGATTTTACTATATTTAAGACATTTAAGGATTGTTTTTTCCAATGACTGTTAGCGCTACAAACGTGATTGTTCAAAGGTATTTTATCATAGGACTTTTAAGGATTTTTCAAACCACTTTTATATTTGTCCAAACACTTTTTTGAATCCAAACACTTTTATGAGTATTTGTTTAAAGGACTCCCCATTTATTTCAAGGACTCCCCAAAAATGTGGATTTAGAGAATATTTGTCAAAAGAACCTTCACGAATATTTTTCCAAAGATTTTTTTCAAAGGACTTTTAAGAATATTTGAAGCATATTTTTTCAAGGATTGTCAGGCTATGGATTTTACAAAAATAAGCATTTTTTTCAGGGTCATTTGAGGATTTTTTTGGAGTTTTTTTTTAAGGACTGACAGCGCTATATACATTCGTGTATTTAAAATATATACTCTTTCAAAGGACTTTTAATGATTTTTAAAATTATGATTATTGTAAAAATACATATTTCCTGGAACCTATTAAAACCTGGATTTTTTAAACACTATTGCTCCTAGATCACTATTAAGGCGTGAAATGTTTAAACAATATTATTTTAATTCCGTATTAACGCGTTTTTTTTTTTTTTCTTAAAATAATTTTTTAGGGAATCTTTAAAGAATATTTTTCAAAAGAATTTTTTACAAGATTTTTCAAGAATATTTTTCCAAGGATTGTCAGGTATCCATTACCTTCATTCACAAAAAAAAATATTATTTTTTTTGGGCTGTTGAGCATTTTATGGAAAACAATTCTCAAGGACTAGCAGCACTACAAATTTATGAATGAATTTAAAAAAATATTTCTTCAAAGGACTTTCAAGGGTTTTTTCAATAATAATTATTGATTTTTAAACAATATTTTTTTCAGGTACCTATTAAGACTGGAAATTTTAAAAAAATATTTTTTCAATTCCCTATTGAGACTTGAATTTTTTAACGATTACATTGGTAAAACACAAAAATATATTTTTTCAAAATCTCTCCAAAAAAATCAATTACATTTCTCATTTGTAATTTCAATGGCGCAAGGATCTCTACCATGACGTAAGCAACTTTGGCTGGAAGAACACTCCACTTCACTGGTCGAACAGTCACATTCACATGACATACATTCCATTGGTGGTTGATCTTCTCCCTCTTCACCTTCACCTTGGCACACAGGTTCTTTTGTAACCGTTATTTCCGGTGGCATGCTTTCTATGGAGCATACAGATAAATCTGAATCGGATAAAGGTAATGGTACTGGTTCTTGAGGCAATAGGGCATAATCATAATTGCAAATTTCCTGGGCATGCCACAACGAAGGCTCTTGGGACCAGTTATTTTGTTTTTCAAAATCCTCTTCAAGATTTTGCTCTTCAGAATCCTCCATGTTGTTCTTAAATTTATCACCTCCGGGTGTCTGGAAATAACCCGTCAACAAATAACGATCATCAAAACTAAAGACGGCCGGTCCCTGGGGATATTTATTATCCCAAGTACCATGTAGGGTAGTGCATTTCTCATCATTGCCATAGGTTAATTGAAAGGGTCCCACACGCACCCCCTGGCGCCATGTGCCCTTGAAACGCAATGGACCACATGACGAACCCAGCGATGTTTGTGACATGGTATAAATGCCGATGCCATGTCTCAATCCCCGATACCAACTGCCACAATAGATATCACCATTTGCATAGCAATAACGACCTTTGCCATGTTTCATATTCTTGCGCCAGCATCCTTCATAATAACTACCATCAGGATAGATGAACAGACCTCGACCGGAACGATGACCTGAAAGCGCACACATACACAATATGTTTTTATTTGCCACAATAAATAAAATATCCAACACTTCGATACTCACCACAACGATATTGCCCATAATACCGTGAACCATCCAGAAAGACATACAATCCAATGCCATGACGTTTACCTTGACGATATTGACCATCGTATTGATCCCCATTGGGAAGAATGGCCCAACCCCGGCCATCTCGTTCTCCTTTTTTATTTCGACCACCAATGTAGAGCTAAAGGAGGGTGAAAGTTTTAAATATATATAAATATACTCTATCGGATTCATACATACCCCTATATTGATTTTAGTTTCCTCCTCTTCGGGTATTGTAAGTTCATCCTCGGATTCTTCGGATTTCAAACTCATTATCACGCTCACAATTCTAATTGAGAAATATTTTTTTTTTTAATTTTTTTCCAGTCGAATTGATATCCAATTCTTTGGTTACTATGTTGCCTTCTCTATTTGAGCTCCATTTCACACTTCATTTGATTCAGATATATCCAATCCTCACACCAGATTTTGTTTTATCAGAAATATTGGGATGTGAAGAGAACTGAATGCTTATTTCGGAATTTATGCTCGTTTTGGTTATTAAAAAGTTTGCAGCTTTTGTGGGGGAGGAACTGGTCCGATCCCTACCATCTTTATAACAGATCTTTTGTTGATAGAAATATTGAGATGTGCCAAGTCTGAACGGGATCGGATGTTAACTTCGCGATTTATGAGCTTCATGGGCCTCATTCAAAATGTTGACCCTTTGTGGGAGAGGTACCAAAAAGTGTGGACCGATACATTCCATTGGTTAATAAAAGTTTTGTGATGTGTGTAATTTAATGGCAATCTGACTCTTACATCACATTTTATAAGAGTTATAATTATTCAATTTTTTCCCTTTGTGGGGGAGGTACTTAGCACTGACAAAAATATTAGGATTTGCAAAATTGGAGCAAACCCGGATTACCTTTCCTCTTTCTGTGCAGTAAAATATTTTTTGAATGTTTCGATCTTTTGTGGGGGAGCTACCAGAAAGAGTGAACCGACATTGTTTATCTCCGGGCTCAATCTTAGTTAAGCAAACATATCCAAATGTACCAAGTTTGGATGATATCAGATACCCTCTTCTAGAGTTGTCGTGCGCACCAATCAACCAGACAGTCGGCACTGCCAGATTGAATTCAAATCCCCTGAAAAGGGACCAAGGGCCGTTATTTCGATTGTATAAAAAAGCAATAAAAAAACCTTAAAAATGTCTGAAATCAAAATGTAACTCCTAGCAAATATACAGGGTGAGATAAAAAACAGCAACAAAGTCAAACGCCATAACTTTTAATTTTTTTTTAATTTTATTGAATGAAATCAAAAAATGTCGGAAATAGCTTCAAATTCTAGAATAAGTTCAGATTTGTTCGAATTGGTCACCATTGGCAAGAATTATGGTCTTCAAACTGCCAATGAAACCGTCACACGCTGCCCGAATGTTGTTCTGCGGTATTTTGGACCATTCCCGGCGAAGCGCTTGCCTGAGGGGATCGACATTTTGGTATTTTTTAGTGCCAACCTTGCTTTCCAAAATACTCCAGACACAAAAGTCCAACGGATTGGTATCAGGAGATTTTGGAGGCCATTGTAAGCTGGAAATGAAGCGAGGAACCTCATTTTGCGCGTGCTGAGTGCGATGGTTCTGAGTCCTGTTAGAATGTTCAAGGTCTGCGGCCAAAATGTTTGCGTGCCCAAGGCTTTATTACACCCTCCAGAAAATTTTCGCGATAATATTCGGTATTTATTCTGATGCCACGGTCGATTAATACGAGCGGAGAGCAACCATCGGCTGTTATGGTGGCCCACACCATCACCATGGCCGGCGCTTGAGTTCTCTTGGCCAACCGAAGGTGTACATTTTCAGCCGACCTCTTTGGCAAGTACACACGATAATTTTGTTTGTTTAGAAACTGCTGGGCAACGAATGTTTTCTGTTCCGAGAAAACCAAACTCAGTTCAGCAGTTAACCACTTTCAGTCAAGCGAAGCAACTCTTTAGCTCTTTTGAGTCTATTTTCCTTCTGTTGCGGTGTAAATTCTTGCACTTTTTGGAATTTCAATGGCTTTACCCCGAGCTCATTTTTCAATATTTGCCGAATGGAATATTGCGATATGTTCAGCTCACGAGCCATTTTTCGGCCAGGCCACTGCGACGTGATTTTCGATAAAATTGCTTCTTTACTTTTCGAAATCACACTATCACTCTTGAATTTCATCACGAATAACTTTTTTTTGAACGCTTGTAAACAATATAATGAGCTGTCACTGGAATAATTTCAACAGCTGTCGGACGAGTGGCTTAGAAATGACAGGAATCTGAAGTTGGTTGCAGTTTTTTCATCTCACCCTAGAGTGCATATTACAGCTTTGGAGGACATTCAAGCTTATTCGGTCGAAGTAATTCTGTAGGAGGTATATCTGAACCGATTTCAATGGAAACGTCCGTCCCGAAATTCACTCCATTTGGGCTGATATTGGCCATTATTTGCAAAATAAACCAGAAATCGGATTAAGGATATATAGGAGCTATATCCAAATCTTAGCCGATCTCGATAAAACTTGGCAAAGGTATTTCCGAGCTCTATAAGATATCTGGTACCAAATATCATTGGTGTCGAATGTATATTACGAATGTGAGGGACTTAAACACCACATCGGATGAAACATATATATGGGAGCTATAGCTATATCTGAACCAGTTTTCACCAGCTTCGTGACTAAATTCGGTTGGATGTGCCAAAATTCAGGTCATTTGGACTGATATTGGCCATTTGGTGGACAATTAACCGGAAATCGGTTGAAGATCTATGGGAGCTGTACGTAAATCTAATCCGATTATCATTAATTTCAATAGGGTTCGTCCTTGGGCCAAACTAATATTGTTTGGAAAATTTCATCTCAATCGGAATATAAATGCGACCTGCATTTCTTTCACAAGAATACGTGGACAGATGGTCGGACTGACATGCATAAATCGACTCTGAAAGTGATTCTATGAAGATCCTCAAAAGTAACTATGGGTCTATATCGCGTCCTTCTCCATATTACATAAAAATGCGCAAAGACTAATACCCTTATAGCCTTAAATATAAAATCGGATGAGCCTTAATATAAAATCGGATGAGCCTATACACTGAGAGCAATAGGTACAAAATTGGCAGACATTTTCTATTCAGAACTAGATGGTATCATCCACAATTCAACCCAATTGGACCTACGTAGCATGGTTAATGCACCATATACATCAAATTAGAGAGAAATGTATATGGAGGTACATTTCGACAAAATTTGGTTAGAGTGCATCTGATGAAACATATATATGGGAGCTATATTTGCACTTTCAGGAAATTTCACATTTCGGGTAGTTTCGCGGACTGATCCTCAAAGATCTTCTAGAGTGGCTGGGGTAGGTTTGGCAGGGCAATTAAATAGGAGCAGCGTACTGTGGGGACCTGTATCAATCGACCATGCGCACCTCTTCATGAATTTGTGCCCAATACAAATTGAGACAGCTGCACTATCCTGAACGTAGTTGGGCCAAAACTACCCTGGTTTTCCTTGGCAGTAGACGTTTTTCCAGCTACAAAAAATGGGCTTCTTGATTTAAAGGTTCTCTCTTATAGCGTTGGACTTCCCTCTATATCGTGCATGTCCTTCCTGACACCCCCGGGCGGAGGAGATTTATCCACCATAAGCACCACCCAAGCAGATACCCTGCAAAGAAAGCAGGTGGTTATGCTGGCGTACGAAAAGGACCTTCGCCTCCCCATGTAGATAGTCCAATATTGTTATGAAGAGGCACCCTGTGCCAGAATCGCGTATCACTCGTGTTCGCAGACCATACTGGGGCCGCATAGTTGACCACAGATAGACCTATGGCGTTGTAAGAGGTCTTCTTATCCGCACCCCTGACCGCCAGCGTCTTTAGGACTTTTCATTTTGTCGTAGATAGCTGTGGCTTGTGCGGTTGATTCTTCACATCACTTACTACTACCAATAGTAGTTCTTCAGCAGTGTTCTTCGAACTTCATACAATTATCCCCGAAAGTATTTGGGAACTGACAACTGAATAAAAAGACAGATTTTATATTGATTAACTCTTTTTTAGTTTTGTTTGTAATATACTTTACTATTTTATTTGTGTTTAATTTTTTTTTTTTTTTGTTTTTTAATTTTTTAATTTAATTTTAGGATTTGTTGATGTTCTTTCTTTGATGCTGTACTTGTTTTGATACTAAAATACATAATAATTGTGTTATATTTATAATAGTAATAGTATTAATAATAATAGTTAAGTATTAGTTTTTTTAAATATATATATCTATTCATTAGAGATTTTTCTTTTATGTTTTATGTATATAATTTTTCTTTAGCAGAGCGGTTTGCAGGATTTTGGATGATCTCTAAATATAGTTTTTAGTTTTGTTTTTTTTTTATGCAAAATACTTAAATAATAAAATCGTAACTAGAGTTTTCTATAGCAATTTTCTTCTGTGAGATAGTGTTTGTGTGTGTGTGTGTACGCAGATAATTCAAATTGTTTTTTTTTTGTATTTCTAAACTCTTATTGTCTAAAACTAGAATTAAACTTAAGAAGGAAAAGAATCTACAATCACTATGATTTGGAAAAAAAACAGAATGTGGAAAACTTGGTTTTTTTCGTGGGGAAAGTGTAAATGTATATATCATCTATATTATTATAGGTATGGGGATAGGAGGGGGAAGGAAGTTTAATATTTTTGTGGCTTTGATATTTTTCTGTTTGATTGATTTTTATTTACACAATTTGAATTAGCACAATTAAAGTATGGAAAAACGGATTGGGATTTTCAGAACTAAAAATATCAAAATCATACATTTCCCAACAAGTAAAATAATATACTTTCGGGATCATTTATTATTTGTTACTAAGATTCCTTAAAACGTTTCCACCAATCACAAATGGCGATTTTAACATAGTTTAGAGACTATATAAACAATGTCCTGTGCTAAAACAAAATCTAACAAATTCTTAAAATTCCATTTGATTTCTTCATTCTTATTAATATTTAATTGAAAAAAAAATTAAACAAATTATACATAAATATATATGTATGTATATATATATGTAGAGCAAGCGTTTCATAATATTTATAATAAAAAAAATTAAATGTAACATTAATATATATATATATATATATATATATATATATATATATATATATATATATATATATATATATATATATATATATATATATATATATATATATATATATTTTTTTTTTTTTTTTTTTTGGTGTATATACATAATTATTATTTTTGCATTATATGTTGAAAAAAAAAATCTGATTGAAGTTATGTGGTTTACTTTGTAAAAGCAATAACGAGTAATTTCAAAAGTAAAAGAATTGGAAAAACTTTGTGCAATTGTAAAATATAGAAAGTTTTCCGCAAAGAAATACGAGTTTTGGAAGAGATGGCCTAAGAAAAACTTAAATTTTCCCTACTTCTCTACAAAACTAATGGCAGAGATTTGAAAAAGTCCATGAAGACATCACAAGTGTGAGACTTTTATTCTTAAAAAAAAATCCAAAAAGAAAAATAATATTCCTATTAACTCTGAAAATAGATGTCTAAATTTCGGCGGAAATACAATTTAAAAATTTTTTTTTAGATAGCCTCAAAGAAGTGATTTTTCAAAGAGAGGGCCAAAGAAAAAACGACATTTCCACAAAACTCATCTTCTTTCAGAACAATTTCCTTCCTCTGAATTTAAACTAATATTGGCAGAGATGTAGAAAAGTCCATGAAGTCATCTTCAGTGTGTGAATATTAATTTAATAAAAATCCCACAAGAAAAATAAAATAATATTTTTGGCGAAAATAAAAGTCTTTTGGAGAGAGGGTCTCAAAGAAGTGAGTTTTGGAAGCGATAGGGATAGAAATTTCAACAAAGAAAACATGACGCCTCAAAATTCTGAAAACAGACGTCTAAAATTTGAAGGCAAAATTTTTTTTTGGAGAGAGGGTCGAGAAAAATGTAAGACCAAATTCTCATGTGGAAACATTTCCGCAAAGAAAAGTGAGTTTTGGAAGGGAGGGCCGAAGAAAAACTTGCACTTACCCCTCTTTTCCATAAAACTTAATTTTCTTTGCTGCAAATTTCCTTCCAATAAATTGGGAAGAAATCATCTTCAGTGCCGGAATTCTAAATTAAAAAAAAAAATAATCCTGAAAACAGAAGTCTAAAATATGAAAAAAATAAAAGGTTCGCGGAAAATTTAAGCCCAAATTTTCATATAGAAAATTTTCCGCAAAGAAAAGTAAGTTTTGAAAGGGAGGGCCGAAGAAAAATATTAACATTTACGCTTCTTTTCCACAAAACCCACTTTTCTTTCTGGCAGATTTTCTTCCTTCCAGGCAGGACCAATATTGGCAGATATTTACAGAAGGACAAGAAGTCATCTTGTAAAAGAGTCGAGGAAAATGTAAGTCCAAATTCTCACAGAGAAAGTTTTTTCGCAAAGAAAAGCGAGTTTTGAGAGGGAGGGCCCAAGAATACTTGCATTTAATTTTTTTTTCCACAAAACTCAATTTTATTTCTGGCAGATTTTCTTCCAGGCAGGAGCAATATTGACAGATTTTTAGAGAAGAGATCTTCAGAGCAGGAATTTTAATTTTTAAAAAATCCAACAAAGAAAACATGACGCCTGACGAATTCGGAAAACAGGCGTCTAAATTTTGACGGAAATAAAAGTAAGTATTTTGCAATGAGGGTCGAGGAAAATGTAAGTCCAAATTCTCATGCAAAAAGCTTTTCGCAAAGAAAAGTGAGTTTTGGAAGAGAGGAAGAAAAACATTTACATTTATCTTTCTTTTCTACAAAATTCACTTTTCTTTCTGGCAGATTTTCATCAAGGCAGGACTAATATTGGCAGATATTTAGAAAAGGACAAGAAGTCATCTTCAGTGCCGTAATTCTAAATTAAAAAAATTCAAAATATGACAACTTATAATTCTGAAAACGGACGTTTAAAATTTGCCGGAAATAAAAGCGATTTTTTGGAGAGATTTGGAAAAGGGCAAGAAATCATCTTCAGTGAGTGAATTCTAAATTAAAAAAAAATCCCACAAAGAAAATATCCATAATAAAAATATAAATATGACGCCTTATAATTCTAAAAACAGTCATCTAAAATTTCCCGAAAAGTGAGTTATTAGGAAGGGAGAGAGAAAGGGTAGAAGATAATGTGAAATTTACCTTTACCTTCAACTACCATCTATCCTTCCGTTTTCAGAAAACTTACGGTGAGAATACATAAAACGCTTTTTGACTGGCTTAAGTCATCGGCTGGCTTCTTCGGAAAATAACAAAGAAGCGTAGGCCCAAAGTCGAACTAAGTCAGCCTAAAACTCTTTGTTCCAAAGACCTAAAATGGTAAAGACTAGACAAAATGCATTTTGAGCAAATGGTTTGTGTCTACAATACATAGAGTAACAGCTCATGGAAGCGATATGTTAATATAAAAACCACAATTAATGAAACGGATAACAAATAAAAATTTGAAAAATCCAAAATTTTGGTTTCAAAATTCTATTCCATGGACCTTTCCGAAAATTTGCACATTGCCTTAGCGGTTAATATCAGTTAACATTGGTAACGATGTTGTTATGATATCGTAACAACAGAGGTATTTTCACAGGGTTACCATATCTTGACTCTGTCTTGTCCTATCTTTACACTTCTATGTCTTTTTTTGTTCAAAGAAGATAGTGCATGACAGAGCAAAAATATGGCAAACCTGTTATGATATCATAACAACATAATTACCAATATAAACTGATTTAAACCGATAAGGCAAGATGCAAATGTTTGGAAAAACCCATGGAATTGAATTTTAAAACCACATTTTTGAATTTTTCAAACTTTTATTTGTCATTCGTTTCTATAGTTGTGGTTTTTATATTAACATTCCCCTGTCCTGTGCTGTTACTTAATTTATTGTAGACACAAACTCAAAATGCATTTTGTCTAGTCTTTACCATTTTAGGTCTTTGCTTTGTTCCTTTGTTAAGCCTGTCAAAAAGCGTTTTATGTATTGTCACCTTTATGGATTTGTTTAATGCTTAGTTTCCAAAATTGATTTATTATCGTGGGAGTGGTGTGTAGCAAGCAACTGATTAAAACGGCAAAGCATTTAAGGTGAGAATACATAAAACGCTTTTCTGACTGGCTTAAGTCATCGGCTGCCTTCTTCGAAAAAAAAGGAGCCTAGGGCCGAAATCGAACCAAGTCCACCTAAAACTTTTTTGTTTCTCTACTAAGAAGCTAATTGATGATTTAAACCAGTCAAAAAAAAGCTTTTTATGCACTTTGATGATTACCCGAATTTGATTTTGATAGATTTTTTTTTATCCATTATACATACAGCACAAGCTTTTCGAGCTATAAGGGAAATTTATTCTCTAAATAGAGTGCTTGAATCTTTTAATTCTTTCTTTCGTTCCAAAAATGTTTCCAAACAAACAGGAAAGTTATAGGAATTGTAGAAATATTCAACTTATTATAAAAAAAAACATCTTGCCAACTGAATGGTGCTAAATTTTAAAATTTCTTAATATCAAGAAAATGAAAATGAAAAAAAAAACAAGCTTAACATTAGACTTAAGAAATAAAACGAGAGAGGCATGACAACGATTGCTACTCCTCTCCAAAGAGGAGACCGAAAAAGAAAGTCACTCAAAAACCGGCAACAAATTATTTTATAAATAATTTCCAGTTGAGTTTTATCATTGTTGGTGGTGTTGTGGCTGTTGTCGTCGTAGTACCAGATGCTACTGCTGCTGAATTTTCAAAATTATTCACATTATTATCATCATAATTGTTATTACAATTTGTTGTAATGTGTATATGGTTACTACTCATATTGTTGTCATTATTGTTGATGGAATAGGAGGAGGCGTTAGTGGCGGCGGCGACGACATGGACATTGGCATTGCTATTATCATTTACAACATCATTCATGTGGGACTATAAATATTTATTATTTTTATGCATTCTCGATTTACCCGGATTCACTTTACACTTCAGCTGTTGTATTAGATCGTATATCTTTAACGCAGGTCCAACTTTCATACCCAACAGGGTGATGATTTCATCTTTCGACAGCTGCAACAGACGCTTACCATCGATTTTATTCCGACTAAATGTATCACAATGGGCTGTGCAATCGTTGACACGTAAAAACTGCGAAACATCGTAGACATTCCAGGTGTCGGGCATTAGTTCGGCATTGTTATCACTGTCACTGCAATCACTGAGCCGTGGTATATATTTGGTACTGCTCACCGAGGAGTTCTAAAGTTGATATTGGGGTAAAATATTTAAAGAGTGATATTAAAAAGTGATATTTTTTGTTATTTGTTATATTTGGATCAATAGTGCAACATGATTGTGATATGGAATCTATGGGTGGGTGGTTGGTTGGTAAATGCCAATAACAGTGCGCAAAAATATATAAATATATATGTATGTGAAGTGAATGTCATTAAGAATATGAAATGTGAATGAAAATCTAGGCGATGAAGCTAATGCTGGTGGAATAATTTAAAACCACAAGACTTGATTACATTATTAAATTTTACAATATTCTATTCTGGTCCTACAATGATTGGCAATTAAAAAGCTTTTCTATTTAACTATTATCCTCCAAAAGTTTCGATACATTTTCGAGGCAGTTTTTAACGTTTTTACAGCTGCTTCTGGTTTATTTCCAGGTCTTTGAATACTCTTCTCAATTATAAGTCGAGTAAAAAGTTATACTTCTCCCTTGAGGATCTGCGTCCACTCCACAGAAAGCTTAAATCCTATTATCCCGGGTATTACGATATGATAACAATTTGTAGGTCTAAATCGATCGATGTTGGCAACGAGATCAACGTCGATAAACAAATAATCTAATAAGCCGCAACGTTAATTAAAAATAGCACGAACAGATTTTGGACCTGTCTTATCCTGCTTCGTTTCGTTTTCATATTCAAAAATTCTCATTAATCACCGGGAAATAATTTAAAACTAGAGCCCTTCGAATTGAATGCGTTTATAATAAACCTTATTAGATATTAGAATGCGTTTATAATAAACCTGGGTTCTGCCGGTGAGATTATGCTATTCCGTTGAAGAGTTCCAGCGAAACATTACCGATTGTTTAGTTCTCAATCTGCCGTGTCATTCGGTTTGACTATCTTAATTTATGTTTGTCCAGAACCATTTTTCTCATTTTTTTTGTATCTGCTTGGATTGTATTTATAGTTCAGTAGAGGTTTGGAGAAGAGTGCAAAGCAGACAAGCTTCGCAGGGTGATTTCTGCTGTAAATTCGGCTACAATTTAATTTAAGCGCCTGCACAATCCCCCTAGCTCTCGTTCTTAAATTGCGATAAGTGGCGGATGTTCTGCGAGGACGAAAATCACTTTGTATTCTTCTAGGATCAATGCCTCCTTTGTCTCGTTTCAGGGCAGCATTCTGGCAGATCTGGATGTTCTAACACTGCGTAGCACTTAAATTCGCAGACCACGATGGAGCCACATAGCTAACCACGTACCGACCAACATATCGCTTTATTAGAGGTCAACAAGATTTCCTTATCATCGCCCCAAGTGCTGCCGGCCTGCGCCTTGAGGACCTTGTTCCGACTTTCCAACTAATCGCAGATAGCTGTGGCCTGCGCAAACGACTTTAACATGCAGTCGAATGTGAACCCAAGGATTTTGGAGTAGTTAATGGTCGAAATTATATTTCGATCGATCTGCACATTCACCCTGTTCCCATCTCCCCAGATGGGTTTGCTGCCTGGTTCCCGCGAAGCAGGTATTCAATCTTGTACATATTTCATCAAAAACACGACTGAATACGATGATACTATAATCCGCATACGTTACTATCTCTATGCCATCTGGAGGGTGAAGAAATGGTAGAGGGTAAACCGCTTGTTTACCTTTACACTGTCTGTGCTTCTTGTTCCGGAATTCCACGTACGACAGGTGCCTTCATATATATCGTTGATAATCCGACGTTTCGAACTTGGCCATGGGGCAGTTCTCTCTACATACTCAAACATTGTAAACAGTGGTGGCGCCTCCTCGGCGGGAAGATATCTGATACGACCTAGTACTCTTCGCTTCGCCATATCGCTCTCGGGGACAAATTGTCGATTAAAATATTCAGCGCACATCTTCAAACCAGTCGCTAAAAATTACTGAGGTCCTATTATCCTTTTCCCCAGGGTTCGAAAACGATTTCACCGTTACCTACAGCATACTCATATCGGTTCCAATGTTGCAACATTTCAGATGGTCTAGCCAATGTTTCCTCTTATGCTCCTTTACGAAAGGTTCAGTAGGGTTGGATCCACAGAGATCATCACTAAGATTTTTTGTTTGGAATACTTATTTTTGCCAGCCTACTGTGTTGCTTCTGGAGTCCATCTCTGAACTAGATGAGTTCCAGTATATACAATATAAAAATCATATTTGCTGACATCCCTAACATTCTAAAGTAGTTGCAGAGCATTTATCGGACTTGATCAACTATTTACGTAGCCAACGACAGTTTAGGGAAATTGATCATCCACATTCATATGCTACTAATTTTTTTTTCAATTTTTTCTAATTTAGACTAGAATCAGAGCCTGGAACAATTATTAATTGTACCAAAGGAGCTCTATATGGTGTTATGAATGCAAACCCAACTTTAAATATCTCACATAAATTCCCAAATTTGTTGGCTTTGTTGGTTATCCGGGTGTAATGAAATGGAATGGGTGATGAAATTTTAAATATGAGTTATCCTTATTTTTTACAAATGAAATTTTGATTTGATTTTTTTGGTGGGAGGAGAAGGCGACGCACTATTACAGGGTTCAACTACCACTTACCCCAATATAACTAGTTGCTTTACGTGTTGCAATTGGCGGTGCAGGTGATTGAGGTTTTTTAATCGAATTCGATTTGTTGGTCTTACGTACTTTATTCTCTATACCACTACTATTGGCCGCAGCTGCTGCCGCCGCAGCAGCAGGATTCATTAGCAGCGACGACGATGATGATGTGGTCGCTGCTGCACCACTGCCACTGCCATGTGATGTGTCCATGAGATGAGATGATGATTGATTTGATAGCATGCTATTGGTATCTTCATCGTATTCATCTAAATCATCATCTTCATCATCGTCGGCGGCATCGTGTGCGCTGTGATCATAGAAGGCGGGATTGTGATGTTCCGGTTTTAATTCCAATTTAATACTAAGCTTAGGGAGATGGGGTGTTGTCTTTAAGGGTATTGTACGAGTTTTAACTGAAAGTAAGAAATGGAGAGAACATTTAGAGATACTTCTTTGAAAAATATTTTAGGGGGTTATACCTTGAGGTGCTGTGCTTTCACTAGGTGATGTGTGGGTGTTTTTATTGTTTGAGGCAGCTGGTCTTTTCTTGCGTTTCTTTTGCACCCTTGGCTTGGGTGCTGTTTTGGGCGGTGCTGGGGCGGGGGCAGGAGGTCCTTCAAGTTTGTGGCCCACCAAAACACACCAACCCACCGGATAAATATCCGATGACTCACAGTCGAGCCATTGGTCATACTCATCCGTCCACCCATCAAAATGGATCTTCAATAGGCGCCCAACCACACGAGAAACTGTGGCTACACACACCAATCGAGGATCCATTAGATCGGCACACTCCAAACTCATACCCACCTGGAATTTTAAAGGAAAAAAATTTAATTTTCAATTAAATCTAAAATATTTAAAACTTGCCTCAAAACCATGACCGGGCACAGTGCGATGAAACAAATGTGAACCCGCTGGCACAGAATTGGTATCACGTAAATATTGTTCCCAAGTGAAATTAGCAGCGGTATAACCATAGGGTGGAGTTAGTGTAATATTGTTGGTGACACAAAAGCCCACGGGAAATATATTTGGTGATTTTTCATGATAGCAGAACCTGGGGAAAGAAACAGAAGTTATTTTCGTAAATATTACTTATAAAGCAATCAATACTTACCAATCAGCCCCGGTGGCATCGGGTTGATATGAATCAATGCGTATCATCATATAGCCAAACTTTAGGACAGCCATTACCGTGGCCACACATATAGAGGATAGATTTAGAGGATCGACAGCTTCCAGTTTCATGCCCTCCACAAATGTTTTGGCTTTATTCTCCAAATAGTATTCCTCAAAGGTGAAATTCATTTTGAATAACTCTATTGTGGCATCATCTTCATGGACCTCTATCATGGCATCTCGGCCAGCTGGAAAAATAAAAGAAAAAAATAGTTACAAAATTCAATTATTTTTTATTTCTTCTTTACCCAACATCCTTTCCAAATAGTCTTGCGGTGCTGCCAAATTATGCCCCACCGTGGTGGCCCATCCCACCGGATGTATTATGGGTGAATCTTCATGACACCAAAAACCATCATCGGAATCAAAATACCGTAGAAACAAACGTTTGCCCACAATTTTTGTGACTGTGGCCAATCGCACCTGGGATATACGATCTTTGTCTACACATTCCAAATTTAAACCGAGACGAAAGCGGGACTGCATACTATCGTTGACCTTGTTGTAGAAACTTGAGGGTAATGTACGGGCTCCCGATAGCCGTGTCACCAGAAAATCTTTCCAATCTTTATATTTATTTTCAATAGACCGTGGAGGTATTAGAGGTTTCCCCCTGGTGGCACACCAACCCACCGCATGCACCTCCGAATTACAAAGGTTAACCCAAAAGTCGTTGGCTTCATCATCAAAACCTGTAGCAAATAAAATTTAAAAAAATTAGATTTAATTCGATGATAATTTTCCAAAAATATGACAATTTTCTAAAGAAAATGTCCTCTAAAAAACGGAGAGTATTTTCTATAGAAAATGTCCTCAAAAAAGAGAGGGAAATTTAGTATAGAAAATGTCCCCTAAAAAGAGAGGACATTTTCTGTATTTGGGGTAAAAAGAGACGGAATCTTCTATAGAAAATGTCCTCTAAAAAGAGAGGGAATTTTCTATAGAAAATGTCCTCTAAAAAGAGAGGGAAAAAGAGAGGGAATTTTCTATAGAAAATGTCCTCTAAAAAGAGAGGGAATTTTCTATAGAAAATGTCCTCTAAAAAGAGAGGGAATTTTCTATAGAAAATGCTCTCTAAAAAGGTAAGGAATTTTCTATAGAAAATGTCCTCTAAAAAGGGAGGGAATTTTCTATAGAAAATGTCCTCTAAAAAGGGAGGGAATTTTCTATAGAAAATGTCCTCTAAAAAGAGAGGGATTTTTCTATAGAAAATGTCCTCTAAAAAGAGAGGGATTTTTCTATAGAAAATGTCCTCTTAAAAGAGTGAAGAAAATCTATAGAAAATATCCTCTAAAAAGAGAGGAAATTTTCTAGAGAAAATATCCTCTAAAAAGAGAGGAAATTTTCTAGAGAAAATATCCTCTAAAAAAGAGGAAATTTTCTAGAGAAAATATCCTCTAAAAAGAGAGAGAACATTTTCTAAGGAAATTTCCTCTAAAAAGAGAGAGAATATTTTCAATAGTAAATATCCTCTAAAAAGAGAAAATAGAAAATGTCCTCTTAAAAGAGTGAAGAAAATCTATAGAAAATATCCTCTAAAAAGAGAGGAAATTTTCTAGAGAAAATATCCTCTAAAAAGAGAGGAAATTTTCTAGAGAAAATATCCTCTAAAAAGAGAGGAAATTTTCTAGAGAAAATATCCTCTAAAAAAGAGGAAATTTTCTAGAGAAAATATCCTCTAAAAAGAGAGAGAACATTTTCTAAGAAAATTTCCTCTAAAAAAAGAGAGAATATTTTCAATAGTAAATATCCTCTAAAAAGAGAGAACATTTTCTAAGGAAATTTTCTCTAAAAGGAGAGAGAACATTTTCTATAGAAAATATCCTTTTTATTAGACAATATCCTCTAAAAAAAGAGAGACAATTTTCTATAGGAAATATCCTCTAAAAAGAGAGAACTACATTTAAAAATTTCTGTTAACTTACCTTCATATCTCATCAGAGCCTTGTAGCCCTGTATATCCAAAATGGTTGCCACCCAAAAGGAGTGTGGCGTCTGGCCAGGTTGTATTACCTCCACTTGATCACAGTCCGTGTTCTCGACCTCGACTTTCATATCGATGCCCAAGTTGTCCCACACATCACAGCCAGGAGCATGATGAAAACATGTCACCGGTGCTGCATAGAAATCTTCTCGTCCCAAACGTGGGGTCCAATCATATGAATGTGTGGGATCGTATAATTTTCTACGTATACTTATGATTTTTTCCATTTGTGGACAGGGGGTGGGAAGACGATCATATTTTGGTATTTGGGGTAATTCATCTTGGGGCATAACATCCTGATACATACGTAAAGCTTTTGGGGTGCCGGTCATTTCGGCTAATTGATCACTATCCGTGGCATATTGTATGCCACCACTGACTGTGGAATTTCCCGCCAGTTGTGAGGTAGGTTGGCTGGTGCCAATTGCTGTTGCTGTTGTGGCCTTGGAATCAACACCTAATAAATTGCCAGTGGTGGCGGTGTTGGATGCTGTTACTGGTATAGTGTTATTTGTTGTTTCATTATTGTTGTTATTAATTGGCTCTCCCAAGCCATTGATTTGAGTGATTTTCGACTGGTCGGTAATACGAAAACGATAATTGGTATTTTTTATGTGGGCCACACGTAAAGCCATTTCCACATCATTGGCCTGTTGGTTTGCCAACATCGTTTGACCACTTTCTGTGGATGCTGAGGCACCTGCTGCTGGCTGCTGTTCATGTTGCTGCTGCATTTTATTTTCATTAAAATTATTTTCCATATTGAAAATGGCCTGTTGCTGCTGCTGTGTTGTAAATCCTTGCTTGTTCACCACCAGAGAATACAGCTCACCACGGGCGCATGCCATACTACAAAAACGACGAGATTTTGTATAGAATGTATGTTTGACACCTATTGCTCCGCATCGTTCACAAACCGCTTAAAAGAGAGGAGAGGCAAATAGAAATGTATAAAAATGAGAACAAAATCCCAAATTTGACAGATATTGGAGAAAAGTTTAACTTGGATCATCACCAAAGGATAGTTCCCTGGATTCCATGTAAATATTAGTATTATTTTCTTTTTTAAATGACAAAAGCAAATAAAATACTGTGAAAATAATAAAAGAAAAGGAAGAACAAACTTAATAAAACCTACCCATGCCATCTTTTTGTATTGGTATAACCGATGGATCAATATTGCCCTTATAAGCAATTGGTGTCTTTAAAACTAAACCTGGTCGATTAACTGGTTCAATTTTACGTGTCTTACGCTGGGAACGGAGACTTGAAGTACCACCACCACCAACAGTAGTAGGAGTTGTTGCCTGATTGTCGTTACGATTCCCTGCAGCTGCAGCGGCAGCAGCATCACTCAGCAGTTTGTGTTTTCCACTCATGGACATTGTCAACAAATCATTGTCGTTGACACCATGCGGTTGGGTAATATCAATGCCACCACTTGTTGATTTATCATTGTCATTAATGAAATCACCATCTTCATCATAGGAATTGGAATCCGTCATCATAACAAAATCATCGATGTTGATAATTTCCTTTTTGGGAGTAAGTTCTGAGGATTCATCTCCATAGTCACAAGTAGCAGCATCCTCGTACATTTGCGACTGCAGTTGTTGGGTCTGTGACTGAGAACCCTGTTGTGTATTAGCAGCCGCCAGGAATTGAGCAGTAGTTATGGGTCTGCCATTGCTGTTTACCAAAATGCCTCCGCCACCAGCTGAGGCCGTTGCCACATTTAATGCATTGTTAAAATTTGCTGTCGTTGCTGCTCCCGAAACAACACTAGCCATATCTTCGATATTTGTGTAATTTTGAAACACTGCTGCTGCTGATTGTTGCAACAGCTGTTGATGCAAGCCCATTTGGGCAAAATTGTAAATATCATTTGTGTTGGTGGCCAATAGTGTGGTGGGTTGTAAACCAAGTGCTGCAGATGATGCTGCCACTGCAGCTGCAGCAACTGCTGCCTGATTATTGAAATCCCCCCCAACTATGTTCATCATTGAATTGACATCCTGCATTGTTTAAGATTCCATTTTTTACAGATTTGTGTAGTGTGTTTATCCCGGTTTTTTTTTACAAATTTTTATCAAAAATATAAAGTAAAAATTTTTGGTTGTAGGGATAGGTATTTTTTGTTTGTGTACATTTGCAAAAAATCACGCCAAGTTGTTGTGAAATAAACGTAGATTTTGGAAACCGAATATGAAAAGAAACAAAGAAAAAAACACATAGAGAAATAAAATTTTGAAATGAAAGTTATTGTGTTAGTTGGGATTCAGACACAGAAAATCGAGGATTCTGATTCTCCAGAAAACTTCATGAAAGAAAAACTGAGTTTTAAGGATAAATATGTGGGTTTGGGGAAAACCTCGACATTTTTACTTTTTATTTTCAATTCCATTTTTAGCAAGAATTTTTCTTCCAAGAGTTTTTCTTTTGCGTGTCTGCATCCCAAGTAAGGAAACATATTCAGATATAAATAAAGAAATAAATGAAACAAAGTGTGAAAAAGGAAACCAAATGGTTTTTGTTAATGTACGGTGCGTATGTTAGTTATGTGATCTTTAATTACTCTAAATTAGTTGTAGCTAACATGGAACATACCATTGCTTGTTGTTGCTGCTGGTGTTGTTGTTGATTTATATCTTCCATTACGGACAGACCAATATTTGGATTGAAAAATGATGCATTATCCTCGAGAGTTATACGTTCATTGGGATTGTATTGACTCATCCACATCATTCTCAACTCGGATGGATTCATATTTTGAATTTGATTTTAGCGATTTTCGATTTGCTTTTAGATGGTGGCATTTAGATCCTTGTAATGCATAGATATCAACCTCTGGACAATAATGATTTTATTGGAATACAAAGTGTAGTTCCTGAAAAGGTAAAAAAAATACATGTGGTTAGATGTGGTACATTATGAACACAATCGAAATTCTGAATTCATAAGCTTTCTGGTAAGCACAACTGAAAGCTCAAGCCAAAGAACAGATCAGAAGCATCTTGAATTGGCGAAATATTCCAATAAATCGCCCATTTGCGGGTTTATCATTTGGGAAGTTACTCCGTCAAAAAATTAAAAATTAAACGTCTGGGATATGGTAATCAAGCACGTCATCTCGGGCCAAGTTATGATTAGTTGAGGCAGCTAGGGGTGTTAGCAGCAGGTGTTGGTGAATTGCCTCAAGATACCCTTGTGCCCCTTGTGAGTACAAACAAATCGGAAAATTATGTTATACCTGTTTATTTCTTTTCATTCCGGAGAGCAACCGAAGTGTTTGCTGGGACATAAAAAGAAGTTCACAACACTCAAAACAATAAACAAACGTCCGAAAAAAAGACAACCAGTCGGCACAAGTGGATGAGCTCCGTATGGATAAAATTTTGTTGCTGTTTTTTTTTTTAATTTGCACTTCAGCCAAATCGGAGACGATGACAAAAGCCAAAATTAAACATTTTACATTGGCATGTGTACGTAGCAGCAGCGTTTAATGTTGTAAAACGAACTCACTCACTCACACACACACACACTCTTGCTCATTATAGGACAAGCTTCCTCCCGTTTATTGTTGTAGGCACATATTGTTCAATTTGTTTTTGCAAATTATCAAGTATTAAAAGCATTCACTATATTGTAAACTAACCATCAAATAATAAACCACAAAAACAAACAAAGATAATGCAACAATAATAATCAAAACATGAAATTATCTGCGATATCAACTACACTTTTTTTTGGCAAAAAAAAAAAAATAATAGCATAAAAAGAACAAAAACACACACGCACACACAGAGAACAGCAGCGTGTGTTGCTGTGTATAAGTACCAAAACCTGAGAAAATCACACATTTGCACATCCATCGAAGAAGCGACTGAAAATCACTTGATTTTTTCGACACTTTCCCGTCGAAATTACTCACCAACTTCACTGAAATTCATTAGTGTGTTGTATATTTCAAACGACAAACATTGTTTTTATATATTTCTGTAAGATTTAAGTGTCCAAAATGTATATTTTTATTGCGACAAAATAATTGTCCGTAAACTTAATTTTGTTGTGTCGCAGCAGAGGGCAAAGTCGTTGATGTATTGAGAACGCCGTTCTAGTCATTTTTGCTTGGCGATTTTCGTGTAACAACGTTGGGCGTGATGACACGGCATCGTAAAATGACCACAATGACCGGCAATTTGACAAGAGTATACAGTAGGTGGTTTGTTGGTTTACTTTTGAAAAAACGTAGATATTGCGATATCATAAAGGGAAAATCGGTTATCGTAGCGAAAAGTTTTACATTCTTATAGCTCTGGAACAAAGTATAATTTAGGCATTTCGATAATGGAAGATGAATTCATTTTTTTAAACCCAATTTTCTATATTGGTTTAGTAGATCCGATTGTAACCCGAGTCTTAGGTGAAATGTACCGGTATTCGGGTTCTTCCTCCAAGAAAAATGCTTTCCCGGAATCAGGGTATGTATTAGATATACATTTAGAAAAAATCTCAAAAAAATCCGAGATTTTTACTAAATTAGATTTAAGCTCCGTTCTTAACTGCAGGATGGTAAGGAAGAACTCTAGTTTAGTAAAACACTCTTCTTCTTCTTTTTTTTTTTTTTTTTTTGTAAAAAATTTCCAGGCTTAGGTATTTTTACCCTTATTCCAGGAATCTGTTTTTCCTTGGGAGATTTTTTAACCAAAAGTCTGGGTTCAAGACCTTGTTCACACCCAGATCCACTTACCCGATCTAGGCAACTTAGGTATCCTTTAAAAGCTAAGAAGAAGTTATTATCGATTTTTTATAAAACCCCCAAAGTCGAAAAAGACCCATTATGGGGGTCAAAAAATTGTTTGATTATAGCTTACACTCTTACCTTTCCAAAATGCTACAATTTGTACTAAAAACTTTTCGGATTTGCAGATATGGGTCTTTCCAATTGCATAACCCGATTCTAACCAGTTTATTAAAATTATGTTTCCAACAATACCTATATTGTCTATATCGGGTAAGTAGACCCGGGTCTTGAACCAGAACTTTCGTGTAGAAAATCTGGGGTACCGGATCCGTCCCCCAAGACAAAAATAGTTTTCCGGAATCAGGGTAAAAATACCTACATCTGGAAAAAAAATTAAAAAAATTGAAGAGTTTTTACTATATTATTGTTAAGCCGATGATAATGACAACAACAGGTCTAATTTGATATTAGATTTAATATTAATTAAAGCCCCTGTTTGTGATTAAATGCAAACACATCCTTATGTTTTCTCTTTTACACTCGACCGTTTTTACACTATTTTTCATCTTCCACAATTATTGTTTTGAAATGTCACCCTGTGAACTCTTGTGTTTTATGTCTTTTCCTCAATTCTAAATTGCGTACCTAAGGAACTCTAACTGTTTGATTTTATTTGTTTTGATTCCACATTTTTATTCCCATCTTTCTATGTCACCTTTCGTTTTTTGGACAAGCATCAGAAGGCAGCAACCGGAATACAATGCCCACAATAATAGCATTGGATGTGTCGCTGTCCATGCAAAGGACTATTCCCGGACGCAGTGAAGAAAATGCCATTACCTATCATCAATTGGCGTTGAAGGGTATTTCTCAACTACTGGAATATCTATCCGTGTCCAAGTTGGAATATGTTGCCCTACTAACGTATAGCAGTAATTGTGAACTGAAAGTGGATTTTACCCGAGACTATGATCAAATAAAGCAAGTGGTAAAGAAAGTGGAAGCTGTCGACAAGCTGTGTCTAATGACGCTAATGAAAAATGTTGGCAGTATCTTCACCTCGAATTGGGGTGCTCAGTCCCAGTGTCAGGTTATTGCATTTACCGATTGTGGACTGGGTTTTGGCAGCACTTCGATTAAGACATTCCTACAAAATTATACCGGCAAGGAGCATGAACCGGAGTATGCATGGGTTAAGACAATAAAACCGGTTAAATGGAACTTCATTTGCCTGGGAGTGCATGCAGATAATTATTTCACACGGGCGGTGGGGGTGTATCAACAGTTGTTGGATTTAACGGAGATTAAGGGTGAGTTCTAGTGGAAAATGAGTATGGGAATTTTGATAATTGTTTTTATTTCCCAGGTCATCTTTATATGCCCAAGGCGCCCAAGGATTTGGAGTCCTCAGATGCATCCATCACGGAGACGTTGAAGAATCCTTTAGCTGGACATAAAAGCGAACTTGGTCGCACGGCCATGTTTGAAATGATTGAAAAGCTGTGCGAAACAAATTACAAACCCTATGAGGTATTGCTAAAATGTGGTGGTTACTTCCGACTGGAGTGTCAGGTGATTCTATGGCCTCCACCCCTGCCATATCAGCCGCCGGAGAATGATAAAGCCACCCCCATATCATTGGCTCCCAAACTGGAAATCTGTGGCTATTTGTCCTTGTCAGACATTGGTTCACCATCGTCCCTGAGCCGCCATTTGATCATACCCAAAATTGAAAGAGAAAAACCAAGTCGTAGATCTTCCGATAAATCGGGCAGTGCCAGCAAAATATCAACAGATAAAAGTCCCAAACTCGATGTAAATAATGTCAATTATGAATATGAAAAATTGGAACAAGACATACGAGATTTCTACAATAAAGATGTTAAGGATTCGGAAGATGCAATGGGCCAGGCAACAGAGGATGGTGACAAGAGTTCGGCAAATGCGACTCCTTTAAATGAGATGCAAAAGGAATCAATGTGTGCTCTACTGCATGGCGCATTGAAGGTGGAGAATTTAGCCGCTCTGGTATTGTTAAATCCTGAAAATTCTTGGTATGGCTTCCTCTACTCCTATGCGGACAGCAAAAAGAAATCGAATCTTATGTTGAATATTTTGCCACCCGGCAGTAATGTAATACCCTGGTTGGGTGATCTGCAAATGTTGGGCTTTGCCGAGGATGTACTGCCTGGCGAGACAGCATCCTTCCCCGTTAAGGCTGATAAACGTTCCTATTCTCAGAGCTGTGTGGTTTGGATAAATCGTGTCAGTTTACAATCGGATGTACAAAAGGTTTTGCGGCATGCCAAAAAGATGCCGGAGAAAACACAACATTTCTACAAGGAACTCAATCGTATACGTCGGGCAGCTCTTTCCATTGGTTTTATAGAGTTACTGGAGGCAATGGCCACACTTTTCGATAAAGAGGCGATAAATCTTACTGCCCTCAATGCCAATCCAGAATGTATGGTCCAGCTAAAACATGCCTCATTGGAATTGAGAAAACCAGCAAATCGTGATTTAAAGGTATCCATTGTCCCCGTGCCAGTGCAAACAGTTAATCCCACTGCTCAAGGTGTCCCACCCGGAGTGCCACCAGCCGCCAATTTTGCTTTCAACTAAGCTCAATTTGTTTATATTTGCATGTATTTTTTATAAGGTGATTAAGTAGCAATAACAAATACCCATATAGTTATGTTAAGATTTTTCTGGAATATCGATATAAAGATCAACATCTTTGTGGTTTATTTGCTCCAATTCTTCGAGGATTTCGGGATGTATTTTCACTTGCGCATCCAGTCGTGCATATTTCCAACATTCCAAGGCTTTGTAATTGTCATTGCATTTCAAATGAATCAAGGCCAAATATGCCCATACATTTGGTAAATATATGCCATGGCGAGTGGATTGGGCAAAGGACTCTATGGATTCGTTAAATTCTTCCAACTAATGCGGAGTGGAGGGGTGTTTTATTTAATTACTATTTTATGATATTCTTTTTTCTTTACCTTATAGCAAGCCTTTCCTTTTCCAATCGAAGCTACAATGCAATTTCCGGTTTCTTCACCACTACAGCATAGTGAAAATGCTTCCTTGGCTTTGTCGAATTCTTTCTGCTTCATCAGATGATAGGCATAGCGTAAAATTCCCAAATTGAATGGGCCATAACTATTCAAATTCTTAACTTCACAAATTTGCGAGTAATTTTTCATAGCAACTTCTGAGGGACCTTTGCTAAAATATTCAATGTTTCCATTGACTTGGGAGAGGGTGGCACGCTATTATAAAAATTGGATTAAAAAAAGATATCAGGATGGAAGCATTTTTTTAAAGGACCATCTAAATAATAAACGTGGATTTTTAAAGAATATTTTTTCAGGGACCTGCTGATCAATAAACGTAGATTTTTAAAGAATATTTTTTCAGGGACCTGCTGATCAATAAACGTAGATTTTTAAAGAATATTTTTTCAGGGACCTGCTGATCAATAAACGTAGATTTTTAAAGAATATTTTTTCAAGGGCCAAAAGGCCAATAAACGTGTATTTTTTGAAGAATATTTTTTCAAGGACCAAAAGGCCAATAAACGTGGATTTTTAAAGAATATTTTTTCAGGGAGCTGCTGATCAATAAACGTAGATTTTTAAAGAATATTTTTTCAGGGACCTGCTGATCAATAAACGTAGATTTTTAAAGAATATTTTTTCAAGGACCAAAAGGCCACTACGTGGATTTTAAAAGAATATTTTTTCAAGGACCAAAAGGCCACTACGTGGATTTTTAAAGAATATTTTTTCAAGGACCAAAAGGCCACTACGTGGATTTTTAAAGAATATTTTTTCAAGGACCAAAAGGCCAAAAACGTGGATTTTTAAAAAATATTTTTTCAAGGACCAAAAGGCCACTACTTGGATTTTTAAAGAATATTTTTTCAAGGATCAAAAGGCCAAAAACGTGGATTTTTAAAAAATATTTTTTCAAGGACCAAAAGGCCACTACGTGGATTTTTAAAGAGTATTTTTTAAGGACCAAAAGGCCACTACGTGGATTTTTAAAGAATATTTTTTCAAGGATTATTACTTGTTTTAAATTATTTTAATGAGAACGGATTTTATTGCATTTTAGCAATAATCAAAGAAAAGTCCTTTGTTTTCCACAACATGACCAAAAAAATATAATGCCGTCTTACCAAATAATCTGGATTCAAATACTTTTCCACGGGATAATTCTTCGGCTGGAATTTCTTTTCGAATTTGTTCAAGAAAATACTAAATGTACTGGTCATCATATACCGCTCAAACTCCAAAGCTTCTGTGGCGATTTCATTGAAAATCCATTCGGCAAATCTATACAAACCAAGTTTGGTCAACAATTTCATAACTTTGTTGAAATGTTGAGCCTTAGGCATTTTGAAATCAATTTCATAGGCCAGATAGATTTCCCACCTCGACTTTGGTATTGGTGGAACATCTATGAATTCCGAAGTGTAGAGATTTTCATATTTCCAACGGCAATACTCCATGCCAGGCACATAATTTGTTGCCTTGTAAAGACAATAGAGTAGAATCCAAGTGGAAATATTTCCAGGATTATTTTCACAATATTTAGACAACCGGTAAATAAGGTTCTCTTGGGCAGTGGGGGATTTTTCTTCATCATTTAGATCTTCACAATAGGTGATATAAAAGTCGATGATGTTCCTAGAAAATTGTAGTGAAATATATGTACGGATAATGTGTGCTTCAACTGAAACTTACTCAAAATATTCTCCTGGAATATATTTCCCTTTCAGCTGTTGCCTTAAATATTCCCGAGCATGTTCGAAATTTTGATTTTCAATATTATATAGAAAATCATAGAAATTGTACATGGTATTATCTGGATATTCCTCAGACAGTTTTGCCTTTAAATAATCAGCCATTTCCATGTTTCCAACTTCGAACATATATTTGCAAAGGTTGAATTGGTAGATAAGCTTATTTTGGATTTCCTCCTCGGTATTAAGGCATTTCTCACTGCCCCTCAAACTACACTTCATTATAATGTTGTAGATGCGTTGGGAAAGTTCCTGATACACCAATGTCATGAGATCCTATGACAGTATTCAGATAATATTTTATATACAAATAATGAAGACAAAAGCTCCTCACCGTAAATTCGATATTGGTTTTAGTCGGTACACGCCTATTAAAATCACACGCAATCAATCTCAAAATCTTATTGCTAAGATTACCCAATTGCGAACAATAGAACTGTTTGTCATCCGCAGTAGTTTTGATATTATTCCTCAACACATAATCCGACATATCCAAAATCGTATCATCAAAATTACGATAGGTTTCTTCGCAGATACGTTTAATGATTTCCGGGGTAATTTCATGGCCCAAGTTTTTCTGTGGACAACCAACAAATTTGGAACATTTTATTTCGGATTTTGGAATGTGTAGCATATTTTCAATTGGATCCGTAAGGGGTTTTTGCAGGCACAACTTTATAATGGCAAAGGGAACTTTTTCTTTGATATTCGAATGGGATTGAAGTGTAGATGGTCTGGCAGTCTCCACTGTGGATTGAGAACCTTTTCGTTTGCCTTTCTTGTTGGGTTTTGCTGAAATGGGACCTTTGGTGGGAGCGGGAAGAGTTGGTTTCTTATAGCCAGGCGGTCTCATCTCAATGGCAAAGGAGCAATTGTGAACTGAAATTTAATTGTAAAGAATATTTCTTCAAGGACCTTCTGACCAATAAACGTGGATTTTTAAAGAATCTATTTTCAAGGACCTTCTGACCAATAAACGTGGATTTTTAAAGAATCTATTTTCAAGGACCTTCTGACCAATAAACGTGGATTTTTAAAGAATCTATTTTCAAGGACCTTCTGACCAATAAACGTGGATTTTTAAAGAATCTATTTTCAAGGACCTTCTGACCAATAAACGTGGATTTTTAAAGAATTTATTTTCAAAGACCTTCTTACCAATAAACGTGGATTTTTAAAGAATTTATTTTCAAAGACCTTCTGACCAATAAACGTGGATTTTTAAAGAATTTATTTTCAAAGACCTTCTGACCAATAAACGTGGATTTTTAAAGAATTTATTTTCAAAGACCTTCTGACCAATAAACGTGGATTTTTAAAGAATTTATTTTCAAAGACCTTCTGACCAATAAACGTGGATTTTTAAAGAATTTATTTTCAAGGACCTTATGACCAATAAACGTGGATTTTTAAATCATTTATTTTCAAGGCCCTTCTGACCAATTAACGTGGATTTTTAAAGAATTTATTTTCAAGGACCTTATGACCAATAAACGTGGATTTTTAAATCATTTATTTTCAAGGCCCTTCTGACCAATTAACGTGGATTTTTTAAGAATAATTTTTCCAGGCCCATCTCAGCAATGAACATGGATTTTTAAGAATAATTTTTCAAGGACCATCTCAGCAATGAACTCGGTTTTTGAATAATTTATTTTTAAGGACCATCCGAGCAACAAAAGTGGATTTTTGAATAATTTATTTTTAAGGACCATCCGAGCAACAAAAGTGGATTTTTAAAAAATTTATTTTCAAGGACCAATTGACCAATAAACTTGGATTTTTAAAGAATATTTTTTTGAGGACCATTTGACCAAAAAACTAAAATTGTAGATGGACCTTCCTTCTACGCGTATATACCTAAGGTAACATAATCCACGTCTTCTATATGTGTATATTCCTTCTATGTATAAAATACCTTGAACTGGTCTTCCTTAAAAAGAAACTCTTCTTTGTTTTATGTTTAACTCCCCAGGCTTACCTTGTGGATACATAAAAATCGATAGATTCACAACACCCTGTAATAATGTCCTTTCTTGCTCACTTTCCCTCATCAATTGCACCAGCAAATGGTATCTGCTGAAGGCCATTGCATCTTCCAATTGTCTTTGCATAACATCTGTAAGAACATAACGATACATGGAATTACATATCCATGCCGTGTCATTTGCACAATCAACGTCTTCCAAATTGATATCCGAATTTTCATTGCACAGTAGTTCAGAGAACAGTTTCTGGGGATTAATTTTCGATTCAGCCATTATGGCCATAGTCTGTTCATTTATATACTTTGGATTTTTAAGATATTCCCATTTTATGTCCAGGACTTGATCCGCTATTAATTGTTTGGAAAATGCTCGAAAGCTGCAGAAGGGAATTTTGACAAATTCATTATTCTCATTTGGTTGATTCGCCACTAGGGAGAGGTTGACCATTAAATCATCACATGAATTGCCGAGGAGCTCTTCATCGACATTATAAATGGATGCAAAAGTGATGAAGAGAACATTGGATAACACCATATCTTTAACAAGGGGATGCAACGAATATATTTCCCATTCCATTTTACAGGTTAAACGATGCCGGGATGTGTTTAGGGGATAGAGGAAAACTGTACTCGAGGAACGTATGCGTGTTCTACGAAAGAAGTCCAATAGATCAATATATCCTTGGGCCACTGGCCGGCGCTCAATAATAAACAATTCATCACTTTCCTCGGCTTCACCTTCCAATGAAATTTTCTCGCAATGTTGCAGATCAGTCTTATTAATACTATCGCCTATGGATTCTTCAACACTTTCTCCCACTTCTGGCCAAAAAGGTCGGGATATGTTTTCATAGAGAGTCAGTGTTACGAAACAATTATTCACATTGTCAATATCATCCTGATTGATGGTAATACTAAATGTTGGTTTCTCTCCCATTTGGAATTCTTCAAGTTGAATTGTAGTTTCCGCGGTATAGTGATCGGAGAGCTTGGTTATCGTATTGCACTGATGTTGCAATTCAATTTCTACAGATGTCACATTTTCATCCCCGACTGCCGCATGTTCCTCATCCAACGGATAGAATATGGTTTTTGGTTGCAGATAGAGGAAGATCCGTTTTGGATAATTGTCATTAATTGGCTCCGAAGGTAGGGGAATTTGATCTTCAGCCTTGGATTTACGATGCTTATGGGAGCTTCGACGGCGCATTGTTCAGAAAATTTATTAAATTAAATAATAATGTGTCAGTTATAATTATTACAAGGGTAATTCTTTTACAAGGAAAAAGTAAAAGTTCAAATCGAATTGAACAACCGAATTCCAATGGTCGGGCATTTTAAATGCTGTATTGAACAATGATAAAAATTGGCACATACCAATGTACGTTAGACGCTGACAATTACTTTGAGATGATAACAAAGATTGTGTGTCGTTGTGTTATCATCTCAAAGTATATTCAAACACATCTTTAAAGTCATGGACGCTTCGAAATTGCCAAGTGGTGCTGATGAGGAAGATCGAGGCACATCCCAAATTGTATTTTATGTTGTTATAAAAAATATGTGGAATTCCAAAAATATTTTTACTTTACACTGTATTCGACACATTCCAAATTTTTAAGGACACAGTTTAAAAGCTTGAGATAAATACAGATAAATGTTCAAATATATATTTAAGAATAATGGTATAAAGCAATTCAAATAAGGAAGCACACCTAATATGCCTTTGAGGTTGAAAAATTACCTTGAGGATCACCGGATTGTATTGTGTTATCATGTCAGAGTACAAAATGAAGAAAGAAGAAGAATAAAAACAATTTTTGAATCACCTTCTTCCAGCCGCCACCATGCCCAAGAATAATGATGAGGAAGGTAACCAAACAATCAAAATCGTGCATCAGCCTTCCGTAAATGTTACAGAAAATATCATGCTTGTAATTTTCAGGAAGATTTGAGAGAGTATACAAAAAACTACTGCCCTGCAAGAATCTACTAGCATTCCAGTGTTTTCCTATTTTTTCGTGGTATTATAAAGCATTTTTTATTCTTGCACTTTCTGGAACAGACCATATGTGATAAATAACAGTAAATTTGCACAATATATTAAAAAATCAATGGTAACAATTATTAAAATAAGGAGACCACTAATATTCGTTAGTGAATGACAATTACATTGAATTGACAACACGCCACCAAATGTTGCTGCGTTATCATTTCAGAGTAAAAGATAGAGAAAGAAGAAGAACAAAAACAATTTTTGAATCACCTTCCAGATCCCAGCAAATCTTTTCAATCTCTCCAATTTACCCTTAAATAAACAATGGGTTCTCCAGAGTTGCCCAGTGATGCTGGTGAAGAGGACTTACGTACAACACACATTGTACATCATCCTCCGGCGCCCAGTGATGATAGTGACAATGAATCTGTAAATGATTATGATGGTTATCAGCCACTGGCGATGGATGAACATCATCAGGGCTATGTACAAAATGGATTCGACGACGATGATGATGAGGAGGAAGATGCCACGACTAATGATGATAATAATCATGATTTCAATACAATACGACCACAACAACCTACATTGGCGGAGGACAATGCTGAGGTGGATGAGGTAACATATGGCGATCCAAATCTACCACCCGTTGAAAGTATAGATGCCGAAGTGGAGCGTGAAGTTTGGAGTCAACCAAGACCCCAGGAGCTGCAAATCGAATTGGATAGCAATAAGACACAGCAGGTTAGTGCCAAAGAAAAGAACGTTTATTGGCCTGCTCCAGAACCTGCAAGAGTCTACTAGTTTTGCAATTTTATCCGATATCATAAAGGGAAAATCCGTTAACGAAGTTAAAGCTTTTACCTTCTTGCAGTTGTGGAACATTCTGAGATTTTCTTTTAAGTTTTGTCTTATGAAAATTACAAAAAATCTATGCCTATAGCTTTGTAGAGGAAATATCCCTAAAAATCCACCTTTTCAGAATTGATAGTCCTTGAATATACTTCGGAAGTTTATGACATAATATTCCAATATAATCTCCGATCCCTAAAAAACATACCCTACTCTTTTGTCATATATTAAACCAGATGTTTTTGCATTTCAGATTTTAAGCGCCATGGCAAATTTCTCTTTACCCAATATGGCTGTACCATCCTGGGCCGATGGTGTCCCTGAAGAACGTTGGAAAGAGGAGTTATTGGAACGTATACGACAAAGAAAACCAGCCTCTAATGACAGTGAAAGGGAAACAGATAACCAAACTGAATAGATTTATAAGCAGAATATACCAATTCCAGTTTTGCAAGACATTTGCATGAACACTATCTTAGAATCTAACAAATAGTTAGTTAATCAAATATGTAAGCAATTAATTACGTTATTTCCCCATCAATCAACTTTTATCAGTTGTTCATCCATAATTTTTGTTGAAATTAATAATACTTCAACTCAAATCATTTGGCTTAACATCTAAAAATATATCGCATATTTTTGAATGAATACAACTTACATTCGCCGAATAATGTTAGAGAAAAAGGATAAATAAAATAGTATTTTATTGTATTAATTGGTTTTTGTTGTTTGTTTTTACTGCAATGCTACAAATATTTAATGATTTTTTTTTAATAATATTTTATGTTTGTATGCATGAAAAAAGATAAACGAAGTTCACTACTACTCCACATCCCAGAGACCCATCTTATTTGATATCAATTTCAAAATGCAGCCAACAAGGCGGTTCCAGCTTTATTGATTTTGGCAAATGTCTCCATTTGTGGAGTATTCGTCAGCTCACGCAATTTATCCATAACATAGTCCACAGATATCACCAAGGCTGATGTTTCCTGACCAAATGGTGTGGTAGTCATATTGCCCAAAGCCTGCATGCAGCGGTAACATGCCTCCAAATCATTGGCCCATTTTAGGAATTCAATTAAACCTTCGGTTAAAATGCGACACTTATCGCCATTGGCCAATCCGGTGGTCTGGGTAATGGTCTGATTTAAATAGAATGTGGCAATGGCAATTTGTAAATTATTGCTTCCCGTTTTAATGTTATTAATGTGTTCGACCAACGGTATCAGACGTTTATCAACTTCTTGACGGCCAGCCGCATGATTCATACTATTTGCCAATGTACGTACGATCATAAGTTGATTCGGGGCCGATGTTGCAATGTGTGGCAGTAGAGCGTCTAGGAAGTTCGTAGAATTCAATATTGCAAATATCGGTTCATTGCGTACAGCCAAGCGTATTATGTCGATAACTGGGAACAGTAATTCTGTAAGTGGGATATGTGTTTAATACGGTATCATAATCACTGATAGCCAGCTGAACTTACCACTTGGCCATCTTAGTAGAATTTGTAAAGCTTCAATTGATGTTTGTTCTACTTCAGGGACAGGATCTGTCAATTTGATGCAAGCCTCTAAAAGGGTGTCGGACACTTTCTCATTTGTGGCAGGCAATTTGTTATTAAATTCTCTGTAAAATAATGGAATAAAATAAATGAAAACAATTTTAAAATACCGCTTTAAATAAAATTTTTAAAAAAATGCGTTGCAAAAAATTCAAATTCAAAACATTTTTCATGAGTCGTGTAATTTCCCGGATAAAAATTCACAGAAATAAGCACTTCAGAAAACAAAATGTGTAGTATACTCACTTGAGTTTTTCCAAAACTTTTGTGGGATCACAAACATCAAATGTTAGATATTTGCTTACAGGGAAATGCTTTTCACCTAAAAGAAAGAAAATAATGAAATAATATAAATTTTCTTCAAAAAAAAATATCATCCAAACAACCTTTAACAAAGTTAACATCCACTTTCGGCTGACTAGCAGCAGTACTGTAACTGGAACCCCCGGTAAAAGGATCCGCATTGCCAGCAGGTTGGAAATTGCTATTACTGGAACCAGGAACATAACGATTTCCACCCGTAAAAGGATCCTGATAGGCCCTTTATTAAAATTTGAGATATTTATTAGGGATCCTTTTTTTTATTGAAATATTTTAAAACTTACCCAGTATTGGTAGCCGTTTGTATGGGTGCACTATCGGCATTTTTAATAATGAAATTTGCAACTTGATCTAAGTAGGCTTGAGGTAGCTGATGACGATGTATAAAAGCCTGGGCAGCATGCCATGGGTCTTCACCACGGTTATAGGGCAGTTTAAGAGGTGGTTCAGTATCAGATATATCCACCGAGAATACGTAGTCGTATTCCTAATAAGGAAAAAAAGGAATGTTATTAAAAAAAATATGAACGTGGCTTTTCTTCGTTTTAATGAAAAATTTATCCTACATACCTTGCCTTCATGCAATTTCTTGCCGGAGGTATTTTGAGTGGCCCCAGAGGCTCCGGTGACATCACCCACTAACTTCCAGTTACCCAATTCCCACATATAACACTTGACCGTGCCGTCTGGATGTCTAACCATTTTGGTTTGGCCTTCTCGCGTGCCGTTTGTCAACAAGGACTCAGGTCCAGGTAGACTAAAAAATAATATTTCTTAATTAAATATCAAAATTAAAACAAATGCATCCAAAAATCTTACTCAGTCTTTTTGACACCTCCCAAATCTTCGGACATTTGTTGTTTACGCGTCTCCACCGCCAAGGTATGGGCCTTAAGTACAGCTTCCGATGCTACGCGGGCTGAATCTTTGGTAAATACTCTAACAATGCCATCACTGGATCCAGTAACAATATCACCATTACGCAAACATGTCACTGACCACACCGACTGGGCGGGATGGACCAACGCATCGCCCAATTGCTGACCAGTGCTAATATTCCACATGCGTAATGTACTATCTTCACCACAGGACACGATGTAGTCATCACCTAAAGCTTTCAACTGGGCCATTGAATAAATATAATTACTATGGCCATTCAACTCGTGCACACATTCACCATCTTCATTCCAGACTCGTATGGTGGCATCATTGGCACAGGACAGCAAGCAGCCGTTTTCCAAAGCGAGTATGCTTCTCACGCAATCCGTGTGACCCTTAAGCAATCGCAACTTCTCACCTTTGGCATTCCAAAAACAAATACTTTTGTCTGCCGAGCCGGTAATGAATTTCTTTGTTTGTGGCATAGAGGCAACAGACCATACTGCCGCTTCATGGCCTTTTAGTTCAACAAAGGTATAAGCTCCCAATTCATCTATGGTCCAAATGCGAGCTGTTTTATCCCAACTACCGGTAATAATGCTACGTGGCTCCACACCAGCAGCTATGCTACAAACTGTCGATTCGTGACCCTTTAACGTCAAAATTGGCAGTACTGCATTTTCTGCATAAATGCAAACGGTGGCATCATTACTGCCGGTACACAACCAACGTTCAGCTTCATAGAAAAATACGCAAGACACAAAGTTTTTATGATCCTGCAAGGTGAGGGCCTCAATAAAACCATTGTCTAAAGGTTTCCACAATTTTGTTGTTTTATCCCGAGATCCGGACACAATCATTTGGCCCGATTCCGTTATGGCCCCCGCCGCCACTGAACGCACATCCATGCTATGACCCACCAGCTCACAGCTCAATTTATAGCTGTCCAATGTATTTGCCATTGTTTTTGCGTTATCTCAGATGTTTACAATGCCAACAGTTTGCGTCTCTGCAACAACAACAATGTAATTGAGTTTTTAGTTTTCGTTTTGCAAAAAAAACCAAACCCGGACACAACACAAAGATGATATTTAAAAAAAATTGCGACAGCACAATAGCGAATTAGTGATGGCCAATAAACCGATAGCTAAATCGATATTTTATTTTGAGTGTGAATATCGATTTTTGCAAATATATCAATGAATGACATTTTTTGTACTGGCAACACCAGACACGAGATAAAAAATTGCACACATACAGCTGGAGACAAAAGAAAAGGTTTAAAAAACAATCAAATTTTTATTTATAAACAATCAAATTTATGTTTACAAAGTTGATAGAGAGGAAATTGTTGCTTTTTTCGATAAACTATTTGTAGAAAACATCCTTTTATTGTTTAAACGGGAGAGCAAAAATACATAAAAAGCGCTGTTTTGGAGAATAACCAAAGACAATACAAGAAAGTTATGTACTTTGAATTGATACCACGTTTAAAGCAAATTCTGGCTGTTTCTCTTACTGATGGTGGCAATGCTGTCAATTTTGAAAATCGGAAGGGCGATTCAAAAAAAAATTTAACGTAAAGGATAACACCATTGAAGTTATTATGCTTAAATTGTATACCATGCAAATTGCTGCAATCACTATTTTTAATCCTAAATGTAGTCCGCTTTCGGATATTGTCTTTGTCTGACCTAGCTGCTGAAGAAATTATTGAAACAAGGTTTTTAACGGCGCCATAAACTCGTTAGATATAATCAATACGTCATCGGGTTCAATCAACCGACCAACCGATTTCATAACTTCAAGAATTTACCAAACGACGATTCAGAAAAGTGCCTGATGAGGTTTAAGTAGACGAAGGAGTTTTCCAAAATATCTCAGCTGCTGATAGCGGCCGTGATGGCCTTCGTCGAAGCAGGAAAATGACAGGATATGTCCGCCTGTCCGCGTATTTTTGTAAGGAGAGTACAGGTACAGGAAAGTATGGAAAGTCCATTTAATATGAAATTTTGCACAGCTCAATTATTTGGCCTAAGGTCGGAGTCGGATATTCGGTCCAGATTAAGATATTGCCTCCATATAACATCTAACATGCACTCTATACCAATTATATTTTGGTGCAAGAGGTCAAATACGACGTAACAACATGGAACAACTCGGTTTTTTGACATTTTTACCAGGGGAAGGTATTTATACCTTGATCCCGGCAAAGTATTTTTTTCTTGGAGGGACGAAACCGGATGCCCGGATATTTGGCCCGGGTGAGATTTGGATCTCCTAAACCTATATTGACCATACAAACCTAAACCTATATATACCATTATCGAGTTTTTTGGACCAAATTCTTTATAAAACCTCCAAAAACAGACCGGGTCTAACCCTTATTTTGGACCCGGAATCCCGGAATCATAATATGATTATCTGTCTTTGGTAGGAATTTCAAAAAAATCCGTGAGTTTTTACAAAATTGGAGTAAAGCCAAATACCTCCGTCAAATTTAGTGAATTAAGATATAGCTTCCACGTCTTATACACGTTTTATTGCTATGGGTAGTTCTACTAATGGTGCATGGTAAAATTAAGAAGGTAAAGTCATTTCAAATAAGCATTTCCATCTCTACATTTTTTTGTAATTTACTTTGTCAAATTTCACTGCCTAGAAAACAGGTTCCCATCTCTGATTTGTGTATGACAATGAGATGTTGTCAAATGAAAAAAATTGTAAACATATGATTGCATGACTTTACCTTCTTAATTCTATCATGTAATGGTGTTAAATTTGGAATTGAAGATCGATTAGCAGAAGGTTAACAAAACATAACATGCACTTTGCATTGTTAGCACGTTATTTATACACTAGACGATGTTGCCAGATGTGAAATTTAAGAGTTACGGGTTGAGTCAAATGCAAAATAACGGTAAAACTTAAAGGGACAATTAAAGTGATGTATTTAAAAGACTGGACAAAGGCACATTAATATGGAATGAAAACAGGAAAACTTAGTGTAGAAGTAGAATGAGGGAAAGCTCGCATGCCATATAGCCCGCGAAAAACGGTCAATGTTTCATTATTGTTCTGTTTTTAGGAGCAATGTTCCATTACTGGTAAAACCCTTGAGATAAAACTATCAAAAGACCCACGAATAACCAAAGATCGAATTCGAAGCATTAATTTCAAATTTTATTGCCCAAAAATTAAAATTAACAAGTAAGCAAAGGCTACAGTCGAGCGGGGCCGACCGTTGAATACCCTACAACACTATAATAAACCATACAGTTTATATAGGCGAGATACTCGAAAGAACTCCACAAGATATTGTGACAAATAATAAAAGAAAACCATCGTGTTTCGTTCTCTAATTTTCGGATAATAGCAACTTAAACGAATTTGCTCATTTCCAATTTATTGGTAGATGTCGCTGGAATGGACATTTTCGTATTTAGTCTACAAAAGTTGGCAAACTATTTCACACATTGAATATTTTTGGATGGCCATCCGAAACTGCTTGGCTTTTGCAATGTGCTGCTGACAATTTGGCAGTTTTTTGGCCCATTTCAACCCCTAAAAATATAGCGATCATCTCCAAAAAGAGTAGGCATCTATTCTGACCCTCATCTTATCCCCATGCAAAATTTCGTAAGGATCGGGCTATAAATGCGATCTGTATATGATATCCTGATATCCTAACTACTTAGTTTTGTTAGCTGTAGAAATATTACCAGATGTTTAATTCAAAATGAAAATATGCCAAAAATATGACAAAATTGAAAAAATATGAGAAAATTTTACAAATTCAATATTTTCATCTTTAGAGAGATATTTTTATGCGATTTTTTAGACGTTTTTTATTCCCTGCCAAGAGGCCATTCTGAATTCATGAGAACTGCCGAAATCAGTTCAGCCGTTCTCGACATATAAGAGATCTTTCAAGCACATCTTCTTTGATAGACATATATATCGCACATATTTTGCTATATATCCGATTTGTTGGATGTTAACATCAATGTAAAGGTCAGAAGTAACCTTGTCATGGCTTTGTGATTTCTCCGGGATTTAAAATATTCGCGGTTTAATGAAAAAATTTTGGATTTTTTCAACACAAAAGATATGGTCTATTTTACCCGCTAAATATTATCCGATGACCACCCAAATTGGTAGGCTTCTTCCCCGCCCTAAACTCTAGCTACATGCGAAATTCCGCGTGGATTGGTCTATAATTGCGACCTGTATAGCTACTGCAAAATCCGACATTTTTTCAGTATTTGGTCCATTTCAACCCCTAAACATTTGGCGATCATCTCCAAAAGAAATAGGCTTCTATTCTGACCCTAACCCCAACTTCGTGCAAAATTTCGTAAGGATCGGACCATAATTGCGACCTGTAGAGTGATTACAAATTAACATGGACAGACGGACAGACGGACGGACGGACATACATAGCTAGATCGACTCAGCTCGGCGAGCTAGGAAGATCCATATATACTTTCCTATGTGGGAAACCAATATTTCGAGGTGTTACATAAATTCTGGCCCAATCAAACTTATAATACCCCAACACATAGTGTTGTAGGGTATAAAAATAGTCAATTATTCTTCAAATCTACGTTGAGTTGTTGACTTTAATACATATTCCTGGAAAATCCACACCAATAGTTTATCCTCCTCCTAATCCTCCTACCTCTCTTTGCTTTAAAGAGCGCCTTGTGTTACTTCCTCCGCCTTAGTTTCATTTCGTTTTATTGGAAAAACAACAACAACAAGTTCAAACTTTGTTCAAAACACTTTTTCCACGCAAAAATTATTTTATTGTTTTATGTGTTTACTTTTTCACCCCACCTAGCCCTGCCTCCGAACCTTTTTATTCCACTTTGCCACATTGGCTGGAACTCTACTTAAAGTTGACTAGCTTTCTTTAGTTTTTTTTCCTTTACAATATGGGTTTTGAGATTCGTTTTTCCTCCGGTTATATTGTTTTTTTGTTTGCATTCTATTTTATTACCGCATGCAGATGAAAGTTATTTGTTGGCCAGGTATCGGTTTGAAGGAATACAAGTATAATTTTGTGAAAGTATTTTAAATGCGAAGTTTTATTTGTGGGGAAATGTTGGGGAAAGACTTTTTAAATAATTTGAGAATTTATAAAAAAGGACTTAAATATATTGCCTTTTTTGGGGAAATTCTGAGATCCGATTTAAAAAGGAAGTTTCTTATTAAGTCTTTAAAATTAAGTTAAATTGGGTCCAAGTGACAGATATTTACAAATATAAAAACATTTTCAAAAAAGGTTAATTAGGCGTATGACTATTGTCGTCAATCATACGCTGTACAACCCATTGAACTTTACAAACTCTCATAGAATTTTATTATATTTGATAACATCTATACTTTTCGCTTGGTATTTCATTCAATGCTTTATTGGCTTTTTATTTTGAGTTCCATTTATAGTTTTGATTAACTTTTATAGTTCCGTTCATGTACTTTTCTCCCCGGAGTGCCATAAACAATGGTTGCTTGTACAGCCAATACTGATTGGAAATGTTCAGTTTTTATTTTCATATGTAATTGAACCGATGGCATAACAAGAGGAAGAGGCCAAACAACTGCAACGAAAATATAATTAAAATATTTTTTTTTTCTCTAAACATTGCCAAATTTATACTGAACTTAGATCGTGTTCGAAGAATGGAGCAAAAGTTCAAAATTTTCAAAAATTATACTTAAGAAAAAAAAATTAATTAATGGCAGGGAAAATAAACGAGATTATTAAAATAGAGCTAATTAATTTAAAAAGAATCAATCGGTTTTGCTGACAAATTTTTACCTCAGTCAATGTTCGATTATTTAAATATATTTTGATGAAAAAACGGCAACCAACTTCAGACTGTTGTCATTTCTAAGCCACTCGTCCGCAAGCTGTTAAAATTATTCCAGTGACAGCTCATAATATTGTTTACAAGCGTACAAAAGCATTTTGGTGAGCATCTTCCAGAAAAAAAGTTATTCGTGATGAAATTCAATCGTGATAGTGTAATTTCTTTATATTTGGCTGGAGAACCACAAGTGGTTATCGTTAGAGCACTCCAGCATTTAAATGCGAATAAATCTTTTGTGTCTCGTACCATCACTTGTTA